TCCGCGGAGCTACAAGATGCATTCGCCCGCTTCAACTCCGACTCCTCAGCCTTCTGTCTGCCGGTAACCATCACAGCAGAGACCCTAACACCGCTGGATCCAATCTCGTTCCAGGGCAGCCCCTCGATAAATGCCTTCTTTTCAGCCCTCCCCCAGCTGTCTTCCGTCCTCCAGCCTAAAACCCCCCCTCTACCTCCTCCTCCGGCGCCCATCGACCGCCTCAAATGCACTCATCGCTTTGACCTACATCCCGTCCAATGCGCCTGTGCGAGCAAAGACACTCTTCGCCTCGACTCGCTCCACCCTGACCCGCGAGCTGGGCACAGAGAAGTTTGCTTCTACCGTCTTTGCTACCGAGGAAGATGAGATCCTGGGCCAGGATGCGTGGCGCGAGCGTGACGGCGAGGGCCCTAATGCTATCTCTCGTGAAGACATGATGGGGGAGAAGGAGAGAGAGCTGGAGGCTGTGCGTAAGGCCGAGGCCGAGGCACGGAATGGCACCCCGGGGAGGGATATTGGTATTGGTGGCAGTTTTGGACCTGGCTCTGGCTCCGGAATGAGGGTTTCTATGCCTGTTGATGAGGGTGCTAAGTCTGCGCTGAGAGACCTACAAGACGGTGGGTTGGTACAACTGGTAAGTTATTGCTCAGGCTTGTAGTCATTCTTTGAGAGGGCTGGTTCGGATCTGTGAGATTTGAGGCTAACTTCAAGCAGACGGTTGATATCCCCACGGAGAAGATCGTCTTGGCCGACTCCCAGTCTGGAGTCGAGGCGAACTCTGTCGCCACACACATTTCCTCTTCTTCGCCGCGTTACTCTTTCTATCATTACCCCGGATCCGATGTCGTGATCTTCGTGTACACCTGTCCCACTGGATCTTCGATCAAGGAGCGTATGCTGCACGCCAGCTCGCGGAGAAACGCTATCACAGTTGCTGAGCAGGAAGGACTCAAGATCGAGAAAAAGGTATGTGTGCCCGTGCTGTGGATGACTGTAATTGTTTCGACGATTTGGATGCTCACAAATAGCAGATTGAGGCCTCTGGCCCTGATGAGATCACCGGTGATCGGTTGCAAGAGGAAGTCACCCCGGCACGAGACCAGGGTCCTGCGCGAGGATTCGCCAGACCTCGTCGACCCGGCCGGTAAATCGCTATTGTATAGATAGGTTATGTTGACGAGGCCGGAAAACTCCCCTCAGCGGATATTTATCTAATAGCTGTAGTAAATATAGCAGCGCTATGCTAAACCTTGCCAGGTTATTGTCCAAGACTTGGTAACTACGTGTTCAGGCGAGATGAGCAAAGGTAGAATTGGATCTGGGGCAATTCCTGCTCATACGATGGTTAGAGCATTGATCGGATCCTCAGATACCTCCTTTGGGGCACAGTTCTTATATAAAAACCGTGCCTGAACTGTGTTTCCTGGATAACTGGCTGTGGCCAAACTGACCTGGACTAGCACTGTAGCACTCTTAGTTATTGCCTGATGTAGGTTTTAATGAGCAATGGAAGGAATGAATATCAATATTCCTTTAGACAATGCCTACATAATGAGTTCCAATATGACAGATTCAAAATAACAAAGAAGACTCCAAGGGTATTTGTGTCGACCTCAAGACCCAAAGCCATCGCACCACATAATTTGACATGAAAAGACCGACTACAGCCGACTACTAGCTAATAAATCACAGTGTCCTCATTATCCTCCACGACCTCGCCTCCGTCATCATCTCGGTGGGCTTCATGTTGATCTTGAGGGGCACTTTCCTCCACGTTAGCAGTGGCTTCATCCGTTTTAGCTAGATCAGGGTTTTGGTCATTAATGTCTACACCCACCGTGTCCGGAGCACCCTGAGCCGTTTCCTTAGACTTTGAATCTGTCGGATCTGCCTCGTGCTCTGGAGCCGATGGCTGGTCTCGAGGACCATCTGTTTGCTGCTGCTCTTCTGACACTTCATGTTGCTTTTCGCCTGCCTGTTCTTGTGTTTCAGCCTGGGTTGGCTGGGTTTCAACCTGCGTTGGCTGTTCGGGTGCAAATGCCTCCGGTGGATATCGGGCTTCGAACTCGGCGACTTCTCGGGCAACAGTCGCCTCTGTCTCTTCGATCTGTTGTTTTATCGTCGCATCGTCGCCAGGTCGGGGTTGCCATGGTTTGTAATACTAAAGATGCATTAGCTGATGGCTACTATATATGAATAGCAAAGCATAACTTACCAGAGCTGGCTGTGCCTGTGTCTTGAAGAAATGTGCCATGGCAAGCATATTCGAATGCCGCGTTTGCATCTGAGAATGGAAAAAATCAGCAAACCCTTTCAACCCAAGATACCACAATGGAACATGAACATACCGCTTCTCGCTCATACAACGGCGTTTCCCTCCTTCGAATTTCATCACGCTGTTCCTTGCGCCGTTTCTTCAATTCACCGTACTCGGCATCCTGCGACTTCAACTTCTCTTGCTGCTTCTTTTCAATATCCGCGCGTCGCCTCTGTGCCGCTGAACTTGAGCTCTGCGAGAGAGTACCAAGCAGCCCCCCGAATAACCGCTGACCCCGCTTGCGGTCCTCGTCTCGACCCCCGCGTGGTCGTGTAGGCTTCGTCTCTACGGACCCATTTTTCGTGGGCGGAGGGGATGACGGCCGACGCCGCTGAGAATGCGGGGAGGTATTGTCTGTAGAGCTGAGTCGTCGGCGCTTAGGGTCGTATTCTGCAGTTGAAGACTGTCGTCGCTTCGCTGTCAACTCCGGAGACTGCTGGGTGGTATCCTGGTTGGGCACAGCCACTGCTGATGCAAGTGTCTCAGGGCTGTCAAAGTAGAATGCGCATTAGCTAGAGCGCTCCAATTACAATAGTTGCGCATGGGTTGCACGGGATGAGGGGACCATACCCTTCAGACATCTTGATCGGCAAACAACGCTGGTTATAAGAAAGAAACAGATTGAGAGTGAGCAACAAGCGATGTTTTAGGCCCTGATCCGGGTCAAATATTGGAGTTGAGGTCAAAAGGCGCAAAATAATGAGACGACACGCTGCTTCGAATCAGCACTGTTTAGGATCACGTGCACAGACCACTTAGCCTTGGTTCACCGTCGGCTTCTTCTCTTACCTTCTCTCAGTCATTTTCTTTTCACTTCCCCAGCGAGTGGCAGATCATACCTTATTCCACTTTATACAGTTCTTGCTATTCCCATTTTCTTGCTGCCTCTCTCAACTCACAATGTCTCGTCACCACCCCGATCTCGTCATGTGCCGGAAGCAACCCGGCATCTCTATCGGCCGTCTGTGCGACAAATGTGACGGAAAATGCCCCGTCTGCGATTCCTACGTGCGCCCCACGACCCTGGTCCGCATCTGCGACGAGTGCTCCTTCGGAAATTATCAGAACAAGTGTGTCGTCTGCGGCGGCGAGGGCATCAGTGATGCGTTCTACTGCTTTGAATGTACGCGCCTCGAAAAGGACCGCGATGGATGTCCCAAGATCATAAATCTGGGAAGTTCGAGGACGGATCTGTTCTACCAAAAGAAAAGCTTCAGGAATCAATGATCTTCAAGAGGCTTGTGGCTTGGTGTCCAAGTGGAGGGGAACCAGCCATGAGTCTGGCGGGTTTACAACGTTCAGCCTAGCGACGACAAAAATGACTCTACAACCTTTACAAATGTGAGCATGCGGAACACATTTTGTCAGTGGACTTAAACCTGCTCCAACTGGTCTATTTGGTGCCGTCTGCCTGCAGCGAGTTGACAAGTGGAGATCAACGAACACATGCCAACGAAATACCCCTGTGACCTAGCCTGCTGTTGTGGGATCGTACAACGCTACCAAAAAAGAAAATAACTGGCAGACATGGTGCCAGCGTGCCCTGGAATATCAGACTTCGAGGCTCCACGAACACTGCAGATGATTTGGCGACTCAAGGACCAGCGGGGATCTGGGTGGAGCAGCTGGAAACAACTCCTGCAAGGTTCGTGACTGGCACGTCTGGGGTCTCGGTCAGGTTTTGTCGATTACCCAAATGGGTGTGGCATGACCCAAGCCCCAAACCTGCGGCTTCAAGGCCTTGTGTACAGATCGTCTCTTTCGAAAACATATCCCTTTTTTGGTTTTATTCCCCGAAGAGCCTTTGGCCTCAATGTCAATACCCATTTGAATAAATCATACTTGTTTTCGTGCATACAAGTGGTCAGCGGCGCGATGGCTTCCATTTCAGAAAATAAATTATTGTATTCTTGGTAGCATTATGAGCCTTCTCAAGACATCCGCAAGATTTTGCGAGTTCGACGTAACCTCACAAGCTTCGAATAGGAACGCCATTGGAGCTCATCTCAGAAGCTATAGACAGAGCAGAAGAGTCCAAATACAGGTTACTCGTGAGACATTCTGCATATCTCCGCTTGATATGTAGAATTACTCTATTAAAAGGCTATTGGATCAACTATAGCTACACTCCATCCTTGTTCTATATCTCTTACGGCTCTTCAAGGAACGGACATCATATCAAGCTTTTGCTATTGTACTATAATATCTTCGACTCCTAGGTATCTAGTCGTCAAACTTGGTCTCTTTCTATCCCTGTGGACAACCATCACCCTCTTAAGGACCTATAATCCTATCAGATACTCTTCAAAGACACTAATCGAGGTATATAAGATGATGAAATTAGAGCATACAATGTAGGGTTTATAGCGTTGTCTTGGCGCCCCACTCGTTGTTTCTAACGTGCCGAGGCACACCTGGGAGGGGCTCGGGATACCTTTCCAGGGCTAGCTTCGGACATGATTATATATCTTTTATTATTCTAACATATATCCTTTCACTCATCAGTTGCAGGTTGTATTTGTATCAACTTCACCAGATAGCCTGTGAAGTTGAACAGCTTTATAGTGTTTCAAAACTCGAGCTCTACAAGGTGCCCACGAAGCTTCGAGTTCCCCGACATAAACCCCTTTTCCCTTGAAGACCGAGCTTGAAAACATAGCTATCACTGCCTGAATCAACTGTCATGCCTGCCGACAAGATCCGAGTGTCGAGTGATTCCCGCATTGAGTACAAGACCGCTACACTCAACGGCCATAACTACTGTGAGCATACCACACTAATGAGAGCATATACTACGATGTTCTCCATATGAAACCATCTGAGCTGACGATATGCAGCTTACATTCTCAGCCAGCCCAAGTCAGGGCAATACAAAGCCACTGTTTTCCTGGTAAGCGGCCAGCTCAATATAAAAAGCCACACATGTTGACATATATTCTGCCTAGATCCATGGCTTCCCGGATCTCTCAATGGGATGGCGGTACCAGATTCCCATGCTTGTAGACATGGGATTCCGGGTGGTAGCTCCCGACTGCCTCGGATACGGACGAACAGTGAGTCTTTCCACCTCCCACCGTATCATGAGAATTATCATCTAATAACAATTCCAAGGACGCCCCGGACGACTTCACCCCGTATTCCCACAAAAGTTGCGCAGCAGACATCAAAGCCCTAGCAACCCATCTAGGCGAAACCCAAATCATCCTAGGTGGACATGACTGGCAAGCATGCCCAACCCAACTATCTTTCCCGGAACCGCACAGCTAATACACAAAGCAGGGGCGCAGCACTCGCCTACCGCATTGCCCTCTGGCATCCGGAGCTAGTAAGCCACCTATTCACAGTTTGTGTGCCTTATGCACGGCCCATGGCCCAGAATATCTCTATCGAAGATCTTGTCCGTAGCGTGACACCGCACTTTGCATACCAGCTGCAGTTCAAGAGCGGGGAAGTAGAGAAAGTTATCCGGTCTAAGGACGAGATTCGCCAGTTTTTGCTTGCGCTTTATGGGGGTCGCACTGAGGCAGGCGAGTTTGGGTTTGATGCCAATAAGGGTGTTTTGCTTGATAAGATTGGCCAGTTGAAGCCGTCGAGGTTGTTGAGCGAGGAGGTAAGTTGGGTTTATTTGATTTGGGATTTGGGATCATACTGACTTCCTCCAGGAGTTGGAGTTTTATACGAATGAGTTTGCTCGCAGTGGGATTCATGGACCGCGTATGGTTTCTTCTGGACTGCTGGTTGGGTTCTTGCTGACTATTTCTATAGTTAACTGGTACCGCACTCGCGACGTGAACTATGAAGATGAGCTTGCTATTCTCGACAGGGAGATTCAGATTCCTACACTGTTTATCCAGGGACTGAGGGATCAGGCTTTGCCGCCTCATTTGGGCAAATCCATGGCGAAACAGGTCCCGCGACTTACCCTGAAGCAGGTTAATACTTCGCACTGGGCTCTGTGGGAGAAGCCTGAGGAAGTGAATGAGATTATTGGGACTTGGCTGAAGGACCAGTCTTCTGCCAATGGAAGGGCTGGCAAGCTCTGATTAGGGAAAGTGCAGGTATAGTGGCATAGTGAAAAGGAACTATTGATTATTGCGAAAGTACGTATCTCATATCGTCAAAGTATTAAGAATATGTGCTTCGTCACGGGTCGAGAGCAGTTGCTTGACCCATCACAACTGCATAGAGCTTGCACTTACCCGTGAACGATGAAGCTGTTTAGTACTGGAACACCTTCGTCTCAATTTTGCAGCCAACCTTTTCCAAGCGGTCCACGTAGTCCTGACCCAACGTAGCGGGGGTGACGATGCCACCACGAGATACCTTCTTGATCTTCTCCTCCTCGTTAAGAATAACCATAGCAGCTTCGGCCAGCAACAATCCAGTAAAGGGGTACATGCCGCCGTGGTAAGTGATCTTACCGAAGACACGCTGTGGCGAAGCACTGTCCGCAGTAGCAATGGCATGGTACTCGAGAAGGTCATTTGACGAGTCCTCTCTGCGCGGACCACTGCCAGGGGCAAAGACGAACTTCTCCACCAGCCAGCGAACCGGCGGCAGTGCAAGCAGCGAAACTGCAACCAAGAAGCCGAGGTGGATAGCGACGCCAATTAGCGCGTTACGGACCGACAGGAACTGGCGGAAGAAGAACTGTTGCCCGTACAGCTCTGGCATCAGGCTGCTGCTGCGGTGCACGATGGTCATGTCGCAGATACCGGATGGGGAGGTCGTCACGGTACCCAGGTCGGGAATTGAGCGTACACCAAATGCCTTTTCTAGGATTGATTCGCTGGGGATGTTCTTTGGCGGGGATGCTACCAATGAGAAGGGAGTCATTGCCTTGGACAGCTCAGACACTGAAAACCCGTCGAAGATGGTTAGAATGGTATTCATGGTACCGCCGCTGGGGCCGGAGGATCTGTTGTGAATGGATTAGAGATGTACTTCTTTGTGGACATGAAATTACATACTTCATTTCCTTGATGGTGCTGTCGACCTTGCGGGTTGAAGACGAGAGGTCCTCTCGGACTCGCTTAACCAGAGCCCATGCCAGGATATCAGCGGGGGCACTCTCGACACCAGTACTAGGGATCATCTGTCTGAAATTAGTATGGATATATATGGGTGAAGTTGGTTGCGGAACGAACAATAGCGCCATTAGCCTTGGCGGTCTCGTGGTACTTGTCGATGATCGACTTGACCCAGGGTGTTTCTCCAGTACTATAACGATCAGCAAGCGTTCGAATCAGTTGGAGAAATACAAAACTTACACATCCACATAGTGAGTTCCATTAACAGCGCACGCCTCCACGACTGGTGTCGAGTACAGGTGGTAGGGACCCACACAATTGATAACCAGCCGGGTTTTCTGGGCGAGCTCGTTGAGCTCGGTGGAGTTCAGTTGAACGACAAGTACATCTATGATCACATCAGAGTGAGCATTGAGATATAGCCGTAAACAAATTGGTCTGCAAGTTACGTACCTGGGTTCACGCGGTCTGGGTTAAGAGCCTTCAGTTCCTGGGCGATAGGCTCCATTTTCTGAGCGGATCGACCTGCGATAGCCCATTTCAGATCGGTAGGAAGGTTCTGCACAATGTGCTCTGCGCAAAATCGGCCAGTATACCCAGTTGGGCCCAGCAAGACCAGGTCATATTGTCGGTTGGAAGTCATGGTGGCTGAATCGATGGAGTGCAGTCTATGATGTAGTTTTGAAGAACAAGGGAGCTCTCGGCAAATCACAAGCTCCTCGGCACTTAAAGATGCAGTGTGGGGGTTGGAAAGGGAGCAAGCGGGATAGCCACGAAATAGTTTTTGAAGTTTTACGTAGGATTAGAAGCAACACATGTTACACAATTGAGATTCTACCTGAATCTGGGAATTGAAGAATGTTTATATTCCACGACAGGGTATTATCACGTGACCGGATAGATTGATTAGCCCGAGAAAGGGAGAACCGGGGCTGGTCTCGAACACAATCAAGCCGGATTGGGACCTCGGGATGGACGTGATAGTTATACAATATATTATACAATATACAGTATTGCATAAAGACTTGTAGGATATAGAGAGGAAATTGGATAACGTATTTCACAAGCGAGCTGCGCACACAAGCGAGCTGCGCACCCCACCCAACCTACTAATTTCAAATGCATTTATCTCAACCAAAACGCCATTAAATTAAATTTAAAAAAAACATCATCTATCTGGACATGCATCTCTCCTATGACCCCGATTTTTACATAGCCCGCATGTTGGTAAAGCCCTAGTTCTTGGCTGTAAAGGTGGCGAAGGCCTTCTTCGTGGCGGGGGTATAGGTGCTTCTATTGCTTCCACCGGCTGCATAATTAATGCAGATGCTTCTTGAACTGAGAGGCCTTCTTCCGCCGGTATCTGCCTTCTAGATCTAGTACGCTTTTGCTTCTTCTTCTCATTTTCAGCGCGTAAATCGCTCACTTCTCTCTCCAGTAGTGCGGCGGATTGCATCGTGATCTGGCAGGCTTTCAAAACCTGGTTTATAGCGGAATTGAGCGGGCTCGGGGGGCTTCTTGATCTTGTACGAAGCAATGCTTTGATTGACAAAGCTTGTTTTTGCAATTGCACATAGTTCGAGGGCGTTTTCGGATCCCAATCACTACCCCGGCTAGAAGGGGGGTAGGGGTAGCAAGCCGGATATTAAGCTTCGAAATCACTCTCTCCGGTGCAAAAGGGATTAAACCAGTAGATTGAAAGCTATTTTTAACAGTCTCAGATTTAAAGGCTTCCATTCGTACAGCAGGGTATGCTTCAAGAAAATCCAGTTTGTCAACATGATTCGATCCGCACCGCATTCGAAATTCAACCAGCCGGCTATAGGCTCGTTTTAACACCGCAAAACAGCCTACATCCAGAGGCTATAAAAGGTGAGAGGAATGCGGAGGCATACAGATTGGTATAATCTTATTCTCTTCACAAATTTCATCAAATCTCGGGGTTAAATGACTTCCATGGCCGTCAAGTATCAAAAGCCGATACACCCCTTCGTATATAAAGAAGTAGTAGGAATAAAGAGCTTTTCAAGCCAACGAATCCCAATTTCATTAGTAGTCCAGCCGTTAGGACTAACTTCAAAACGCCAGTCAGAAGGAAGGCTATCGAACCAGGATTCAATAAAGACTTTGCCTTTAAAAATCACACACGGCGGAAGAGCCCAGCCAGCAGCATTCGTACACTCGATAACAGTCACCCATTCACGATTTCCAGGTTGTAAAAGTGCTCGCCGACCGTAATATTCACTTCTCGTAATCACCCTCGCAGTCGCCGTTAATCCTATCGCAAAACCGGTCTCATCAAAGTTATAAACGTCGTCCGGGTCGATCCCGAATTGTAAGATGGTTTTTTGAACAAGATTAAACCACTCTGTAATAACCTTCGGGTCTTCGCATTTCGCACGCTCGTAGTTATACCGTTTCGAAAACCGAGAGGATAGAAGAGGATGTCGTTTCACATAGTTCGTCACCCAATTTTCGCCGACCGAAAGAACCGGGGTAGTTCCGCGCTTTTCAAGAAGAAGATTCGCCATTTCTCGTACCATAGACGGCCGGGGAGCTGATCCTCGAGAATCCATAGAGAGAATCCATTTTTCAAGAGATTCCTCTTCAATTTCTATCAGTTTATGTGAATTGGCGCGAGAATTCGCGCGAGAAGTGGTCCCATAAAGACGTGTCCGGAGGGTTGATTCGGGCACTTTGAAACGGCGCGCTGCTTCGCGAATAGCGCTGATTTCTTTATTCTTAAAAGCCTGGATAGCTAATAAGATCCTACCCTCTCTCTCTATTGAATCTTTAGAGGATTGAGAGCGAATTGGTGGCATAGTGGGTGGTTGAATTAACTAAGTGCTAATTTACGGACGCGTTTTGGGTGGGGTGCGCAGCTCGCTTGTGTGCGCAGCTCGCTTGTGAAATACGTTATTGGGTATGAAATCAGACACCTGAAATAGAAGGCATCCAATATAGAAATCAAACCGAAAACTCCAATTCAAGGGCAAATCAAACAAATTCTTGAAAAACCAAAATGATATCCACCGTCGTCATCTCATCTGGTGGACCCTCCAAGTGGGACCTGCGAAAGAGAAAAGTAAGCATTGGAAACCTGAGGCCACTACATGACATAAGCCCACTAACTCAAAATGGTCAGGTGATCGCACCAAGCCAAGAGCCCTAAGCGAGAATCCACAGCACAACCCGCCCTCATTCAAAGCGTCTTTTTTGGTCTCCTGTTGAATACCCATCTTCATCCTCTACACCAGCCAAGATGACGAAGCGCACCAAGAGTATGTGCCCCTTTCTCAAATTCAACAAACCGCAAACCGAATTGCTCAATGCTAACTATTTTCCACAGAGGTCGGCATCACCGGTAAATATGGTACCAGGTATGACATTCGCCCAATTCGCGCCCACACGACTGTGATTTCCTCGAGACACACGACCCATAGCGAATAATCCTATACGACGACACAACGATTCTAACAAATTCCCAACAGATACGGTGCCTCCCTGCGTAAGCAGGTGAAGAAGATGGAAGTCACCCAGCACGCCCGCTACGTCTGCACCTTCTGCGGAAAGAACACCGTCAAGCGCAAGGCTGTCGGTATCTGGGAGTGCAAGGGCTGCGACAAGACCGTTGCCGGTGGCGCTTACACCGTCTCGTAAGTCGCCCACGATCGCAAGGAACGACAGTGTGATCCGACCCGGGGATCGACCTTGGTTGCCGCACACAGTCGCAATCCACAACACAAGACGGGAAAAGATTACTGACAGTTCTTTTCTTTTCTAGCACCCCCGCTGCCGCTGCCACCCGTTCCACCATCCGTCGTCTGCGTGAGATCGCTGAGGTCTAAATGGGAGGATTGTGTGGTTTCATTTCTCTTTACGGTTACGTCTGAATACCAAAAATGAATGAAAAAATTCGGGATTACGAATTCTTGTTGCAATCCGCTTCGCCCCGAGTATGCCGTATATCGATGTGACTGGGTTTCAAAGTTCACCTCGGTCGCTGCCTACATTGCCTACATGATAGTCAATCCACCGGTCTATCCAGGATCCTCCGCCTGATTATTTCGATGTTCTGCGACCGTGTGAATCATACGGATGGACTGCGGACTTGCAGTCTTTTGTGGTTTCTCGGGCGCTGGACAGTCACGTAGACTCGGCATCAGTGGATCTTGGTTTGGAGGTCACCTGGTCTTAAACGTATTGTCTTGAGTGCTCCGATTGCACCTCGGGCTATATCTTCGTACTTTCTACGTTCACACCTGGACATTTCACGAGGTGCCTGGCATATTCCGATCTACCTGATGCGCACCTGACTGATACGATGGCTTGCCTGGCGACGATTTGTCCGGTTATCTGCGATGACTAAGGTGAAAACTGCCCAGGTGCCCAGGTGCCCTTCACCTCCCTGGGCAGGGGTGTCCACTTGGACAGGTGTGATTCTGGTTTCAGCTAAACCATGCCTAATGTAGTCATTTTTAATTTGTAGATCGGCCACCTTTCTCTTACTAGGGTAGGGACTTTGTGTAGTTTCGCGTTGTACAGGGACGTTGATGATTGCAGGACGTCCAGGTCAGATACTGAGGAATAGTAGAATTAAAAAGAACTTGTACATACGTATGATTTTAATCTTCTCAATATATTGAAATAACATTATACTGAAACAATACAATATCGAAGTCCAAAATCCACATCATTTGCCTCCGTCACGTTCCTGCTTTGCGTTAGTCCGCCCGGCCCACCTTCAAAAGGCGCTCCCCACACCTTTCTCGCTTCTACACTTCTCGAGCGCTCTTCATGGACTTCGCTTTCTCTAATAACTCTGTCGCTCATGTCCGATACCTGTATTGTTTGTTTAGGAGACCTTGGTGAAGGGGCGGGTGATCCTCTTGAGCCTGTTATTGATTTGAATGACTTCAATGGCGACTCTCAGATCGCTCAGCTACTTCCCTGTGGTCATATCCTACATAATAATTGTTTAAAGCCATGGGTTGAACGAGCAAACAGTTGTCCGATATGTCGGCGCAGTTTCAATATGGTGGAGTTGAGTGATAATGTCGGAGGTATGACGCTCCCCCTTCCTTTGACTTATGATACGCTTCTTGATCAATAAGTACTGACTATATTGGTTCGTTATAGGAACTGTTACTTCATCCTACGCTGTCCAGGATCGAACCCAAGTGGCCGAAGTTGACCCTTCTATGATAATCGAATATGCGGAGGATGACTTGACCGATTTTCAACCATGTACAATTTGCGGACAAGCCGACAACGAGGATGTTCTCCTATTATGCGATGGGTGTGATGGGCCTTCTCATCTATACTGCCTAGGTTTGGATGAGATCCCCTCGGGGTCATGGTACTGCCAACAATGCGAGGAGCTACGTGCCCAGGGACCGGCTCCCGAGGTATCAGCACGGCCGTCTCGAGCGATCGAACAGCGGAGTCGACGAACTAGGGCCCAGCAGAGACGACTGCAGAATCGGACTCAGACGAATTCTCTACATTGGGCACGAGTCTGGCAGTCTGTCTGGGATCATCTGAATCTCGATCTTGATTTCCCCTTCGATGACGACCGATCTGCCGAACGTGCGATGCAACAGCGCCGTCGCGAGGAGGCCAACCAGCGTGAATTCCAGGCTTGGCAACGCCGCTTTGAAGTCGCCGAGCGACAAGGTGGTGGCAGTCGGTTCCGCGACACAGCATCCCTGTTCGATCTTGATCATGCCCGACCATCGCGACCTCGGCCTCCTAGAGTTCCAACACCGGAGCCTGAGTCCTTAGAGGAGATGCGGGCTTGGAACGCCTTCGAGAGGGCACGAGAGATCGAAAACAACCCGAGTGCAGCCAGGAAGCGCAAAGAGCCGACCATGTCGCCGTCTCCGGAGCCTACAGAACCAGAGCGCAAGCTGAAGCGTCCTCGAACGAGGAGGCCGCAGGAGCTCGCGGCTCTCGCACAGCAAACTCAAAATGGTGAATCATCCAGAGCTGCGAGCTCCAGTGTACGACCGGGTGGTGATACCTCCGGACCAAGCTTCCTGTCATCACTTTTGAAGGAGGTCGAAGACGCACCGAACCATTCATATGGACCTTCGGCTTCGACATCTGTCGCTCCTACCGACCACCCATCTCCTGGTCCCTCTTCTCCCTCCATCTCTCCCGCCTCATCTCGGTACTCCTCCCCTCTCGTCTCAGCGGCCACACCGCCTCCTTTCCCACGCAGCCGCCCCATCTCTCCCCTTCAATTATCCTCCCCGGCCCAACCCTCATCTCCTCCTTTCTCTCCTGAAGTGTCCTTATCGGGTAGTCCATCGTCAAATGGCGCGAAGGAAGACAAACCACAACGCCAGCCCGGTCGTCCTCGCTCCCGCATCCCCCAACGAGCACTGTGTTTCGGGGCCTCCCGCTCCCCCGACTCATCCCCTACTCGAACTGGTCCATCCCTAGCTCTCAAAGCCGACATCCAGAAAATGGTGGGCACCGGATTAAAACCCCACTATAAGAAAAAGATCATATCGAAAGAACAATATACGAACATCAACCGGACCATTTCTCGCATGCTCTACGAGCGGGTTGGGGATAAGGAAACGCTTGAGCCGGATGAACGTACCAACCTCGAAACAGAGGCCAAGCACGAAGTGCAGAATACAATTGACGCACTGAAGGTGAAGAGCAAAGACAAGCAGAAACAGCGCATGGTGGCGACCGACACAGACGGTGATCTATAATGACTATACCACGAACTCTCCCCGGCATTTAATGGCGTTTCTTCTCATCTCAGCGAATCATACCTTGGCGGAATGGATGGAATGTACAACTGGCGTTTGATTCTTGCAGGCTGTTTTCTTCCTCGTCTTCTTCTCTTCTTCTTCTCCTTCCGCAAGATATCTCTGTGAGAAATCTTTTATTTGTAACACCCCGCTTCGATGGGAGTGATTGTTGTGTTTTCTTGCGGAGCTAGTCTATTCCCGCGTTCTCTTTGCTCCATATTGTGTTAAATATTATTTACCTTCTGACCGTAGGGGGAGAGATGGCCACCTCTGGGTAGCCTCGCCATCTTTGGTTTATCGGGTTTTTCTATTTCCTATTTGGGGCTTGTTCACTTGTAAAGACAATTCCTCCGTGGATCATCTCTGACGAATAATTTATAGGAAGACAGCGGCAACTCCTGGTTCAATCGCGGATCAATTTGACTGCACGTCTATAGATGGATCTAAATAGAGCACATATAGTAAGTGCAAAGGACGCTGTGACCTCTGAGGATAAAGCTGATTCTGAACAGTGTGATACCACCGGAGTCCAGGCTACAAAATATACCGGAATTGACAGTTGGCAAGGAATAAGCTAACAAATGTGCCCTTGCACTCGCTGATTTATCGGTCGAATCGTGCTGGTACCCATTTTCATCTCCCTCAGCAGTCCCAGACAAATCTCGCTTACGATTTTCCCATGCACACACAATCCCGGCGCATAGCGAGGTGTTTTATCCTTTGAAGATGAGCATACCGGCCTAATCGGAAATCAGCTCTAGCACAACCAAACACCACACTCCATTCCCGTCAAAACCGATATATTGAATAAGCCGTTATCTACCCACCAGGAATCCCTACGGTAACCAGCAGCGAATCGAGCACGTAAAACCCGAACGGGTTGATGATAGGCGTGAACGTTCACACCGACCCATTGGCGATCAAGCCCAGGAATGCAACGATGACGATCAGCTAGAGCGTATGTTCCCTAGTAGCCCGGTCAGCTGTTCGGCTTTGTAGTATGTGTTCCACGCGGAGTTGTTAGACCGCAATCTCGCTATGGTGATGTAGTCTTGTTCATTGAACCTGCGTGCTCGTACGTACTATGCCTTGTGGGAGTATAGCACTAGGCCCCAAGATACGGTCACTGCGTCTGCCATGTAGTATATGTACATGTACTGGAGTTACCTGTTATGTCCGTAGTTTATCAGCGTTAACCTCGCTAAGTCCATGAACTACCAAAATCGTCCAAAGCCCTATGGTCCAGTAAAACACATGGTTACTTGCACCAGTTTTATCCGTGGGATATCCCCTAACACTTACCGTCTCAATTAAATCTAGTCGCTCTTTTCGGGTCTATCCTGCTTGTTATATTCCTATGGCATATGGACTACATGTACTATTCGCTCACACTCCGTAGCCTGGTACGTTCAACTGGCCATCAGGGTTGGTAGTCAAATACATCCCAACAACCAGATACAACAGTTATAAAGTGGCAAATAATGTTCACTTAAGGAGAAGAGATAAACATCGAGATTGTTGAAGATGTTATTTGGGAGCTTGACTGAAAATATCTCATAGCCGTCGTCTCTGTCGCCTAGCTCGGAGCAACCAACAATAGAGAACTTTCACTGACGAGCTCTTGCTAACATACTTCCTTGACACTCCGTTTCACAGGAGACCGATACATGCTCTTTGGTGGTTGAATTGGGTTCGGTTGACTCTGTGAGCCTTGTCTCAATGATTTGCTCACTCCGGATCTGAGTCTGAAAAGTGTTTCTCATTTCAGCCTCAAAGTTGGGCAACGGATGTAGTAGGCCTCGACCCGTGAGCAGACCCATAGGTTCCATTGACAGCCAATACGACGTAGCCAACGGTCACAAGCGGTGGGAAATATACTGCTTTCCGAGAACACCCCTCACAACTCCATCAGTCAGCTCATTTGAGCTCCTTAACATCCTACTCCAGGCTTTCTTGTTTGGCCGTCTGTTTGACCATCCGTGCTTTCCCTGTATTGTTGTCTGAATCCCGACCGAGCGTCCCATTTCCGGGCCACTCCCAACTTCCATTAACGTTGGAAAGAGACATTGCGACGAGCTAATAGCTGGAGCCAACCAGGCAGAAACCCAATCTCGGACTCAGTGGCTCGCACAGCAACACCGATTCCATGGTCCCCACTGTCTGCCAGCAGATCCTGGAAATGTCTTGCCCAGGGTTGCTAGGGACGGAACAACCTAGTAGAATGCGGGTAGCGCAACCTGGTAGCATCGGGGCTAAGCAATGTGGTTGAGGAAACCAGAGTCGGTCGAGCCAAGAAACGCAATATTCCGTATTTGTAATTGCCCATGTTCATTACCGAAACGATCTCAGGATAGAATGTTTGTTAACCATGTAGCCGTCGAATTGTTCCATTCCTCTTTGCTCGGCTCCCACACTGGATCTTGAAGATCATCAATGCTCCTTAGGGGTGGGCGCGTTCAGCTCGATGGGCCGGTTCCCGGAGACAACACGATCATAACAAAGATCTTATTCCCGCCTTAAGGGCATCGATAGCTTGGGCTAATGTGCTGGCCTCCCTGGACTTCGGCGGGAGACGGTATCCGCGAGGGATACGAACCCACCGGACCACAACGTCACCGCAATCGACATCTTGGGGCTTGGCTTACGCCGTGCTGGCGGAAGTACTAGACTCCCCTGTAATGATATGAAGATAGGGGCGTTTGCAGGTGCTCTTGGCCTTCTCTTTCTCCTTCTTCTTGGCCTTGTCGTTGGCCTTTCCCTTGCCCTTCTGCCCTTCCCCACACCGGACCTGTCCTTTTCATCAGTGGTACCAATGCCGGGTTCTGACACAAAGTAAACTGGAGAGGTGAGGAGCCTTCCGTCATCCTCTTCGCTTGCACGAAGTGCCACAACCAAGGCTAGCATCCTCGTTGAAATGAGATTGCAGGCAAATAATCAGCGAGCCGATCTGGCTCTCGGATCGCGGTGTTCAATGAGCTTCCATCCTCCTTCACATGGTTCCAATATGGACCATATTTGTGAATTCGAACAAACTCGTCTAGTTTGACAAAACGCTTTCCCTTATCACCCTATAACTATTTGCTATCTATACCCGTCCGTCCGGTGCTCACTGGCTGTGCGAAACTGGGTATCTAGTCGCAGGGGCTAGCTGGGTTGCTGGGCGTGTATGGCCCGAGGGTCTAGCTGAACCGGTGTGGCTGGTGGATCTCCTGAGTGAGCCACGTAGCGAGAACTGGCGGCCAGTGGCGGTTTTGCCCTTTATTCCACCGAGGAACAAATGGACATCGGGGAGCTTCATCGGTCCAGTTTCGCCATCGCGAAGAATCTCAACTTTGGCCACGTTTTCACCATACATGAGGACTAGGTTGTTATGGGTCAATTGGAATCCGGACACCTGGAGTCGCAGCGCTTTAATTATGGTTAGCTTGAGTCTCCTAGTCTGATCCAGGTTCTCCAGACCTTTGTCGAGGAGTCAATGTCGGCGACGCGTTTGTTTATGATAGGCGTAAACCGAAGTCCGAAGCCTCGGTATGAAAGACAGATGGACGTCTTGTGTACTCGGAGTAGGGTCGTACCGGCCACCGTATGTGAGGCTAGTACTCGATAGTCCGACCTGCTTGGGTCTCAACTTGTCTGAGGAAAATTGTCTCCTCATAAGTCGACAGACGGCATGTTGAACATTCAGCTCCCCCATATATCGCGCAACTTGACCTATAGTATAGCATAAATATTAGGATATTAGACATATGAATATTGTATATCATGGTACCTAGGACATACCTAGGATGCGGCGAAGCATGTACTCATAGCCATCCTCAATAAGTCGCAATCCGTTCCTTGGGATGCGGAAATTGGCCCGGGCCATGGTGTCTTCACTTCGCCAATGACTTTGATAGCAGCACTATTGTCAAGGACCACCAGATCTGGAACTCTGGCGTATCCAAATCGCGCAGCGGGACCTTGACTTAGCCTCGTTGTCCACTCCAGTTTTTGTCAACGTGGTCGTATTGTTCTGAGGAAAACGACCTGATGGCCTGGAGCATCTCCTTATCCAGCAACCACAAGTAATGTCTGAATGTTGAGCTGGCGAGGATGTAGTAATCCGCGTAGACTTAGACTGGCTTTGTAAATCTTAGCACATTTGGGCACATCCTAGTAATAACTGGTTAGTATTAAGCATAACTAGTATATCGATAACATACTAAGGCCACTCTTGTGGCTTGCAGCCTAGGCATTCGCGCACTTTCCTATACTCGGAATTAGCAAGATCCAGTTAATACCAAATGCGACTTTTACGTTAAAGCTGGGCCTTCGCGCGCCCTCCGGATGATGGAGCATCCACTGAGCGTAATGGTTCATCGTTTCGAGGTGGTCACAGTACGCATTTCCCTTCTCCGGAGCTCTCGGTCGGCTGGAGAAGACGGTCTCCGCTGGATGCTTGGTTTTGGTGGCATGGTACCGTTAAGCAGATGGGACGCCAGTCGATCGCAGTTCGCAACGGAATCATGCGTGCGAACCGGCCATCCACGCCTGCGCGGCTCAAGTTTCCCAGGTACGGGAGACCATCGGTAGCGATATTCAAGGCGTCTACATGAGAAAAGGTAAGTATGCACACGGCAGGTCAGGGGTGCGTCAACATGGGCCTGAAAATCACATACCGGACAGAACTTGACCGGCGATGTATGCGATCCTTTCTGAATCACATCTGGCAGCATGTCCGATGCTAGTGAAGGGTAGAAGGCAAAGTAAAGGAATAAAAGATGAGTGAAAGGTTCAGAAATCAGGGAGGGAAGGGATATTGGAACAGGAGGGGCGATGCTCATATTCCTGTCAGACGCAATATGCTTTAAGGTATAGAGAGTGAGAAATACACGAGGTAGTTTCTGCATGGTGATATAGCTGTGCGCCTCTTACCATCTTCTAGGCTCCGGGTGTGTATGCGAGCTGATATGTGTTACGTCAGTAAACAACATGGATAACCGTGAATTGTGTATGCAACTGACTGTAATATCATCTAAAGGGTGGTGTTTGATGAAGATATTCTTCAACACGAGGGGATTTTGAATTGGTCACCATGATGACTCGAAAGCAGGGAATCGGAAGTCCATGGATCCTGAATAATATGAGGGGGGAAGATGGATGGGTGACGAGTCGTAAGACTGTTAGGGTATAGTTAATAGGTTGTCGTACTAGGCCTTGAGGCCTCTGGCAAATCCCTCAAACCCGAGTAGACTCATGGGGTGATTTTGACTTCAAGTTCGTTGGAAGTGGAATCAACACCCCCGTTTGGTTCATTCCATTTTCTCCCTGCCTTGGGAAGCTTCCGTGTAAGGCGGCGTAATGGCACGAGTAGTGACCTACTCGGCCAGGTTGCCGGCGTCGGAAAGGTCGGCCCCGGTTGGCATGTCAATTCTTCATTGCTCGAGGTTTGAGCCTGTCAGCTCCTTAAGCGCTTCTCTCAGAGAGATCTTCTTCTCGTGCTTCACTGTGGGATTTGTAGCTCTTTTTCCTTTTTGCCAGTTTTTTATATGTTGTAGAACTTAAAGCAAAAGTCAAATGGGGTTTCTTGGCTTGTGTTCGCTCGTGTGGTCACCTTGTGGGTGATTGTAGAGGTGGGAGTCTTGAGGTCAGGCTGTTGTGTGAAATAGTCGAGTCCTCCCACGTGTTGAGCGAACTGGTAGTCGGAGTCAGTGGGGGAGGCGGGCGAGGGCGGGCTGTTCTCACGAGACATGCAAACTGCCCACTTAGAATCTGCGAAACGCAGACCCAAATGTTCCGTGTGGAATATGGCGCTGTGAACCTTGTTGTGGTCTGTCGATGCATGAGCATACATCAGTAAAGAAGAAAAGTGTGATCAGGATCAATGTGATGGATGATGATGATCATCTAACTAGCTGCCATGAAGCTGCATCTATTAGCTTCATGGCACAAAGAAAACAAAGAGATAAAGGCTAGAAAGATCTGTCACAAACTGCATGAAAGCACTGCCATTAACGCATCAGATTTTGATAGTAGCTCGGCCGGGTCCGTTATGCATGATGTTGTGTATGCCCTTTCATGTTAGGATGATCGCGGATGGTGATAGGGGCGATGTCAGAAGATGAGGCTCTCGTGATTGTGCAATTGCTTGAAGTTGGCCAAGCATATCCACAAACGTATAGATGACATATTCTGCCTCGAGGGTTGTTCCCTCCTTGATGACTGCCAACTACACATAGCTGGTTCTTCAATGGGGGTTTGACCCCGGCGATACTACAACATGGAAGATCCTTAAGCGGGTTAACTCGATTGAGGATCAAGTGGAGGAAGATCTCATTTCTTTCTTTCTCTCGAAACTTTTTTTCGAAGGTGTCTTCGTTTGCTTATTGGGTGGTCAATTGTTGTGTCTATTATGAATCGGCTTGGTTTTCTTCTTTAGATCGTTGAGGGTTCCTACAGCTGGTAGATCTAGAGCTTTATCCTAGTATTTGTTCTAGAACAAGCCAGCTGTCTTAGATCGACAGAACGACGCAATAGCTTTGTTTTAAGCACCTCACTGTTTGATATATACATACATGTACTCGGTGTGTTTCAGTGATCTCGGCTTTGTACAAGCGCATACCGGCTGTATTTATCTTCCCCGCAAATTGTTTGGGAAACTTCCGGCATTGTCGAATCCCGACACATGGGAAATCTATAGATAAGAAGGGTATATTTATGGCTAGGACGTAACATCCCCATATATCGCATCCACTTGGACAACTCCGACACAAATCGCACTTGAATCATGGGCAGCATCCAAGAACCAAACTTCTTCCAGAAGAACGGAGACCTCGACTACGATGTCCTTATCATTGGCGCCGGACTTTCTGGCATTTACTCACTGTATCAAATGCGACAATTAGGCCTGCGGACGAAAGTCTTGGAGGCCGGCGGTGGTGTAGGCGGAACCTGGTACTGGAATCGATACCCAGGCGCACGCTTCGACTCTGAAAGCTATTCATACAATTTCTCATTTTCCCAAGAAGTCCTCGATGAGTGGAACTGGTCAGAGCACTTCGCCTCGCAGCCTGAGACACTACGGTACTGCGAGTTCGTATGCGACAAATTCGATCTCCGCCGAGACATGCAATTCGACACGCGCGTCACTGCAGCCCATTTCCAAGACAACACCAAGTCATGGCTTGTAACAGACGAAAAGGGACAACAGTACACCTCACGATTCGTGGTCACTTGTATTGGCATCTTGAACAACTACACTCTACCCAATATCCCGGGAGTCCTGGACTACAAAGGCGAAGCCTTCCACACTGCCCGCTGGCCAGCAGAGCAAGTCGACTTCACGAACAAGCGCGTCGCAGTCATCGGCACCGGCGCAACCGGCATCCAAGTAATCCAAGAGATCTCCAAGACAGTAGGCCATCTAACCGTCTTCCAACGGACCCCGAACTGGAGCCTCCCTCTCCGGAATGCACCGCTCACCCCAGAAGAGATGGACGAAATTCGAACCCGGTACCCAGAGATATTCCGAAAATGCGCGGAGTCCTGGCACTGCTTTATGCACGTATCGGACAAGCGAAGCACGTTCGACCTGAGCCCGGAAGACCGCGAAGCATTCTGGGAGGAACTATATGCGCAACGCGGGTTTGCGAAGTGGATGAGCAACTTCGGCGACATCAACACGAGTAAGGAGGCGAATGCGCTGTTTAGCGAGTTTATCGCGAACAAGATCCGCGAGCGTGTGCATGACCCCGTCACGGCGGAAATTCTTATTCCGAAGTGTCATGGGTTCGGACGAAACGGGTGCCCATGGAAACGCGCTATTTCGAGGCGTATAACCAGTCCAATGTGCGCTTGGTGGATGTCAAATCTAATCCTATTGAATGTGTTACCGAGTCTGGTATTAGGACGAGGGATGAATCGTTTGAGTTCGATATGATTGTATATGCTACCGGGTTCGATGCTGTGACTGGGTCTTTCACGGCTATTGATTTCCGCGGTGTTGATGGGGTGAAGTTGAAGGATAGGTGGAGTGAGGGCCCACGCACGTTTTTGGGTCTGTTTGTTGAAGGCTTTCCTAATATGATGATGGTTATGGGACCGCATCAAATGTTTGGGAATATCCCTCGCAGCGTGGAGTATGCTGCGAGCTGGGTGGCGAGGTTTATCGAGTTCTGTCGAGACCGGGGTATTACATTTGCTGGGGCTACGCGGCAGAGTGTCTTGGATTGGACGGAGCATGTTCATACTTGCGCTGACGGATTGCTTGCCAATGATGTCGATTCTTGGATGACTGGTGTCAATAAGAATTTGGCGCACAAGCAGAAAAGAATCATTGCGCGATATCAGGGTCCGGCGCCTGGATATCGAAAGCGTGCAGAGGAGGTCGTCACGAGAGAGTACCGGGATTTGGTACTTGAATGATTTGTTTTTATATAGCATTGTTATGGAACACTTTCAGTCTTGCAGAGTATGACATGATAGGGTATATGAAACTACCTTCGTAGTATCCAACGAAATAACTCAGGATAGGGAAGTTATATCAAAGGGAATCTGGGGTCTTCAGGGTTATTACATAAAAAGATTCATCTCAAGGGTATCGCAAGGCTCAAATAAATCCTGGAACTGAAGCATAGCATCAGCAAAGGCATCATCATCAAAGAAAAGCTCCTCGGTATGTGGAACAAGCAGTCTACCAGCGATGCCACTAGTTTCAGTAGTCGCAAACGGGAAGTAGGCAGTCCAATCAATGCCATCCGCCATTTCCATATACACCGTTCCATCACCCATACCAAGATCCGGACCAGGCGCTCGCTGCGAGTCAAAGTCCGGCGCTGTAGCACCAGGCCGCAGACGGCCAAATCCCGAGTGGAATACTGCGGCAGTGGGCCACATGATACGCAGTTGGTCCACGGCTAGAGTCAAAATATCTAGATCTTCATTGGCGCTCTTGGCTAGTCCTTCGATTCGAAGGGCTTGTAGCAGCGCAATGAATGCCGTACCGCAATACCACCCTGTTATAGCCATGAGGAATCGGGTTCCCCCGCGTGATAGAATGTCCCGCATTATGCGAGCCATGCATGACGCGGCCAGTATTGCTGGTGGATATGCTTGTGGAAGAGGCTGGGATGGGGACGATCGCTGAAGGTGGATTATTATAATGACGGCCAGATATGGAAGATGTAGTTGATGAACATCTCTATTGAAACGGGTTGTGCGATTTGATCCAATGGGCAGTTGCAGATGGGGAGGAAGTGACTGGACCCAGCCGATGAGATCGCGGGCCAGAGATGCCGGAAATGCGGAAGATCCAGCGTCGCTGGAGCGAGCGAGGTATTTTGCAATTTTGCCAATGATAGCGCAAAGACGGACCCAGTAGATAAAGACTTCAGCTTTGGTTTTATCCGTATCCCCGGAGAAATCTTCCAATGTGGGTTCTGACAGGGTACAGTCTTCGGGGTCAATGACACATGGTTTGCTTTGACACAGCGCAGTCAGTCGCTCACGCGCAAACGCCGTCCACCATATTCGACGCCGGAGACTGAGATCAATCTGTTGACGTAGTGGATGGTTCTGAGCTGGTTCCCGGTGTACACCTAGTTGTTGGCAATGTCGGATAACCACCGAAGTCCACCACCATGACGAATGGCGATGGAGAATAGTTGGAGGCCGTGGACTCCACCAATAAAATAGAGAAATAGCTTTTAGTGAGGTCATGACATCTGCCTCTTCATCGTTGTAGAACCTGGTGCGAGCTCGCTCGTAATAGCCAGCAGGTCCATCATGTGGAATCATGGGTGGTTTGATATGGCTACCAACCACTGCCAGGGCATTTACCAGTAGTGGAGATCGAGCAAGCTCTTGTGAGAGGGTCTCTCGGTCTCAGGACTGGACACCATGGGTAGCAGTACTCCCAGTATGTTTCTGCGAATGTTTGTTGTAGGTCTGGGTCAGGTAGATTGGGTACCTCGGGCATTCTTTCAGCAATGAGCCGCTCCTGAGCTCGCGCATTTGTTTGTAGCTCTGGTAGAAATACATGGCCAATTGGGTAGCTATCATTATGCTCCGAGTGGTCTTCTGTTCGTTGAGTGGCAGGAGAATCATTGGTCATGGCTTGCATAGGCCTGCCCTGGGGGTCAGGCGGCACTTGACCCGGGGATGGGCCATTTCTCAGCGACCATCCGATATTGTCGGAATTTTGAGTTCCTGCTTGTTTGACATGTGTCGGGGAGATGGAAGATCTCTGAAGCAGATCTCTGGGGAAGTCCAACGACCGGCCATCATTTCCTAGCCGGACCCCAGGCGGTCCAGAGGATGGTTGATTGACAGCAAGATGATCCGGAATAGAATTATGTCGGTTTACTTGAGTACAGGAATTGGTCGAATTGGGCTCGGTTACCGGAGGTGTTAATGGGGCCACACTTGCAGCGGGCCGACCTCGTTTTGATGGCCTCGTTCTGTGACCGGGTTAGGCCATATACATCCGAGATGCCTTCGCAGAGTCACTCACCGGCATTCTTTGCCGCCAGATTCGCATTTGGTGCAGTTAGTATACCCTTGAACCCCTCGCGCTTGCAGGTCACATCTAATCTGCAGCCGTTAGCCTCTTTGCCGAGACTGTGGGGAAACTAAATTACCTTCTTGCTATGACATGCCACACAGGCGAGCTCTGCGCGCTTCCGTTTGGTTTGGTTACCAGTGAATTGCAACCAAAGCGGTTCGGACATGATTGGAATTCTGTAAGGTTGCAATTTAAACCATCAGTACGATACTGCCTTCACATAAGGTGGGGGAAAGCTATCCCCGCAAAACTCCTCGCCAAGCTTCCCCAGATACCCTCGGCTCTTCGGCTTTCCCCAGTTCCTTGCCGGTAATTTTGTCTATTTACTTGGCGTTCTGGGCCGGTATTTTGTCTGAAATGCTGTTATCATCATGCTGGCAGGCTTCATTACCAATAACCCTATGATGGAGATATCTGTGTGACGGCTGTACCATATATAAGTATCTGTGTACCTATCATTACATGATCTTTTGGTTCTATCTGGTCTTCTCTTTGCCAATTATAGTAATAAATCCTAAAATCTTGAGCAACATGACACTACCATCCACAATGCATGCTTGGAGAAAGCATAAAGGGAACCCAAGTCCAGTATGCTAGCAGTCGTATTTCACAGAACACGTCTCTGACTCGATCATAGATTTGGGAAGAGCTTCCTATACCCTCGACTCCTGTCAACGGGTTTCTGGTGAAGCTACTGGCATCCGGAGGTGCTACCCAGTTCACATCAAATTCCCGGTGTTCAACTTCTTATTTCTGATATTTCCTGTTTATAACAGTGTGTCATAGCGATCAGCCCCTTCTGGACATTGAAGACCGGCCGCAGTTCAGCGAGAAGTATACACTTGTATGAACATCTCTTCGCCGTCGGAATCCATTCTAAGAGCAAAGTTGACTTCTTCTCCCAGGGCCATGAAGGCTGTGGAGAGATAATACAGATAGGAGAAGAAGTCACGGACAAAAGGTTCAAGCTAGTAGGTATACCACTCCACATACATCAAAATATCACTAATTTAGAAACGCAGGGAGACCGAGTGGCCCTCCTTGCTGTTCCGGGATGCGGGTTAGTTACCTGCTCTGAATGTTCGAGGGATCTGGCACAGCTATGCCCGGCAGGAATGCACCACGGGATTGGTCAAGACGGCTTCTATGCTGAGTACGTCGCGGTCAATGTTCGCGCCGCGATTCCGTTGCCTGATGGTAAGTTTCTCGCGATGAAATCGTCAAATATCTAACCAAACTCCGGTAATAGGTGTTGAGCCAGCCGTCGCTGCAGTCGCTACTGATGCTGTCACTACAGCTTATCATGGTATTACCCGCCGCGCTGAGGTCAAGAAAGAAGAAACTACTTTTCTTTTTGGACTCGGTGGGCTTGGCTTCAATGCGCTCCAGATAGTCCGTGCTATCGGGGCTAGAGTCATCGTTTCCGATCTGCGGCAAGAAAAGCTGGATGCTGCTCAGAAGTTGGGTGTTCCAGCAGAGGATATCGTTCCAGTTGGGAAGTCGGTGCAAGACTTCGTCAAGGAAAATGGGTTGCAGGGAAGATTGATACCGTACTTGAATTTGTGGGGAGCAACCAGACTAACCAGGATGCGCAACAGATTGGTGACCATCCTCGCTATATGTCCTTTGATCTACCCTTTTGCTAACACTATATCCTTCTCGAACAGTGCGTCCTGGGGGGAAGATCCTGTGTGTTGGCACCCTTGATCTCATCAATGGACTGGACATGAAGATTGGAATTCGGAAAAGACTAAGCATTATCTTCACATATGGTGGGCAGTATCGAGATCTAGTGGAGGTGCTTGACCTGATTGCCAAGGGAGTCATTCAGCCTCAGGTCGAATTGGGCAAGTTGCAGGATTTCCCGAGGGTACTCAAAGAATTGGGAGAGGGCAATATCAAGGATCGGATAGCATTAGTGTCAGATCTTGTATGAGCTGCATCAGGAGATATCTAATGCATTTGTATCCTTGAGTTTGTGGAATGATTTAGATATGATGGTTGTCACAAGTTGCACATGGAAAATTGAAAAGGATATCGTGGTGTTATCTAAGGTCTCTAGTACCATCTCGAAATATCGAGGCGATACAAACGGCCGACTATTCTTTTGATCATGAATGGAGGGATTCGAAGAGAGAAAAAGTAAAGCGATTTATGGATCTATAGGGGCCAAGATAAGGGCTAAACGTCTGAGAAAAACGCTATCCGACCTTATTTTAGGCATTGACACTTGCGCTTTTCGTCATTCCAATCCCCACAGCAGCTGTTGTCCCTGCGTCAACAGGCAGAATAACACCAGTCATCCACCGAGCATGAGGTCCAGCAAGGAATACCACAGCTCCGGCACAGTCCCATCCATTTCCTTCAGTTCCCAATAGGCTTCGTTTCCGGCGGGCCTCACGGGCCTCTTCACTCATACCCTTCCCATACATCATAGGCGTATACAGCATCTGGTAACATCAGCTTCAGTTCTACACAAACGAAAGTGGTGAACATACCCCTGGACAGACACAATTCACGCGAATCCCGTCGGGGGAATGGTGAGCCGCCATAGCACGGGTCATGTTGACTATGGCACCCTTGGCAGTTGGATATAGCAGATGAGGTGTACCTCCCTTCAACCCAGCAACACTTCCCATGTTCACAATACTGCCTTTAATCTCGCCGTCATTTCGGCTCATCTCGGGAATGGCGTACTTGGCCATTTGGACCATACTTGCAACATTGATCTCCATACTCTTGGCCCACTGCGTCATATCAACTTCCACCGCAGTGCCCGCCGCGCCTCCAATTCCGACATTGTTGATTAAAATGTCCAGGCGTCCAAACTGTTCAACTGCAAAGCGCACCGCCGCTTGGCAGTCTTCTTCAGATGTGACGTCTGCTCGAATCGCAAGCGCTCGTCCACGACCGGGTTTCGAATTCACAATTTCCACGGTCTTGTTGGCCCACTCCAGGTTAAGGTCGACGCAGATTACATCGCAGCCATCATCGGCAAGAAGAATTGAAATTGCACGTCCGTTTCCGATGCCAGCGCCCAGGCAGCCTGCGCCTGTTACGATGGCGACTCTGCCGGCTAAAGAGCGCGAGGGGGGATCGGAGGGAATGCCGGACTCCATGATTTTGATCTGATGATTCAGTTTTCAAATGAGGTTATTAGTCAACTATATCCGAAAATTTAAACAGACGTACATACATACTATCTACCCTTATACCTGCTGCATCTTTTTTTCATTCACGGCATACCTAAATAGTCCATCTTCATGCGGGGTTACCGAACCCTTAGATATGTTGTTACCCGTAGCCGAGCCGAGGTGATTTGGGGGGTAGGAGGGATGGCGATATGTCTATGAACGTACCTGACTGCATTCCAAGTTGTACAGGCATTTGTACATTGGGTGCCCCTCCATTGCCCCTCTGTCTTTTTGCTCGGGTTTATTAAATCCCGATAGATGATCAACATCTTGGATATTCCTTATTTCTTATTCTTCCCCACCCTTTCTTTCAGCAATAGAATTACCCTTAGTGAATACAATGGCCGACTTCACTGAATATGGTAGACCCAGCGCCGAATGGGTCGCCCTCGAGCCGACGCTGCCTGAGCTCCCCAAAGACCTCTCGGTGGAACAACTGAAGGCATTGCTAAACAAGGGTCGTGAGACATCCGCCGCCCAAGATATGGCCGATGGCCTGGCTGCCGCAGTCCAGCTGCAAGACCACACGATCACAGCTCGTGACGGCACGCTCCTTGAAGCACGCAGCTACCGCCCCGCCGGCATCCCAGCGTCCCAACGCCTGCCTGTTTACATCCATCTTCACGGCGGAGGTTTTCTATTCGGAACACTTTCTTCCGAAGATGGCACTTGCTCGCGTATTGTCACCTCGCGCGTTCAAAAGGGTACCCCAGTCGTGGTCTTGAACGTCAACTACCGGCACACCCCGAATATCGCTATCCCACTGCTTGGGACGATGTTGAAGACGCATTCGTCTGGTTACATGAGAACATTGCCGAAATCGGTGGGATCGGCGAGCAGGTTGTTGTGGGCGGTATTTCAGCTGGCGCATGGTTGACTGCGTCGTTGGCGCTTGCTCAGCTGCGTGGCGATGATAAGCGTCTAGCGGCCTGTCCCAAGATTGCGGGACAGGTCCTCATGATTCCTTGCGTTGTACAATGGGACCACTATGCGCCGAGGTTGGAGATGCTCAAGAGTCCTGATTTGTCGAGCTACGTGCAATGTGCCGACGCGCCTATCTTGCCGGTGACTCGAATGAAATTGTTCACCGAGCTTCTTGGGCTTGGGGACACCAAGGATGCCGCTGGAGATCGTCGGTTGAACCCTGGAAATGCCACCGCGGAAGAGGTCAAGGACTTGCCTCCTACTACGTTTGGAATCGCGGGAAATGACCCATTGAGGGACGAGGGCCTGTTCTATGGACAGCATCTCGCTGCGAACGGGTGAGTTCAAAATATTCTTAAAAATTCGGGGTGTCCAACAGCTAAACACTTCATCAGCATTCCTACCAACGTTCATGTCTTTCCCGGTGTCCCCCATGGATTTAGGAGGTACAAGCAGCTGCCCGACAGCAAGAGGTGGGACGAAGTCATGAGCGACGGCATTGCTTGGGCATTGACAAATCCTGCGCCTGGTCCATTTGAAATCAAATCCGAATAGGTCACCAAGTTGTAGGACGAATATGCATACATCCATTTTGGGATCTGTTAGTGGCTACCAGGATCGGATATCAGCTAGAACATAGTCGTAGTTGCCCTGCTAGCAAAGCTGAATCAGGTGTATACTTTCCAAGGTTGCGCCAAACAAGGGAAATATTATTAACTAGGAAATCAGGTCAGTTCAATCCATATGGATAGGAAGGAGGCATCAATAGAAGAAGAGAAGAATAAGACAATAGGCGATTCACCGCTCGGACCCACAATGCCGATTGTCCGATCTGGCAGCCGTCAATGCGAGTCTTCCTGTTCATCGACTCTGCTATTTCTTATTTTCTCTTGAGCTTCAATTGTCTGGTCGCTATGCATGTTTATTGTTCACTACATGCAATGTAATTCTAATCCGCTTTCAATCCCGCATTGAAAAAAAGGGCGGGCCCCTCCTCTCCGACCATCGCTTTTGCGCAAAGCGCCTGATTTCTTTTGCGCGATTCGGGACTAGAGCTATTTTCCTAAAAGCTCATAGCCTGGCCTTCTCTCGTGCTCAAGCGTTGTCCTGCGAACATCCGAAACCCACACACCACAATGCCCCCCCCCACCTCCACCAACGGAGCCTCCTCCACCCCCAACGCCCTCGAATCCGACCTCCTCGTCAAGCTGTCCGCCAGCTGCGCACTCGAAGATCTGCAGGAAAACCTCCTCAGCTCCCTCCACCGCCTGGGCTGGACCGAAAAGGTCACCACCCTCGCCACAGAACTCCTCCGCGCCGGTCGCTGTGAGACCTTCGACGATGTGATGGCGGCAGTGCTCGCTTCAGCAGAGGGCCGAAGTCACCCCGCACTGGGGCCAAAGGTCGCAAACGGTGAATCTGCAAACGGAACAAAAGATACAAACGGTATCAAGAAAGGCAACAAAGCCAAAGATCACTCATATGATCCTCTGAAGTACATTGAAGAAATCGATATCCGCATCCCAGAGACGGTGGTCGACGAGGGTGTTCGTGGATTGAAGGATATCATACGAGAAGTGGCCGACTTGGAAGGCGAGAGTGCGCCCAACGGCGACAAGAAATAATGGCAGACACCGGGCGCTGGGAAAGCAGCATTTCAAGATGCGATCATGCATGGTGGGTTCTTTCTACGGAGTACAGATTGTTCGGCCTGGCTGCATCAAATTTCATGGGTTTACATACGAAGTCCACGGGCGCTCTTGCATTTGAATAGACTACCAATTCACACTGGGGTTCTAAATATCCCCTTCTCCGAATCGCTGCATTTTCCCGTACCTGGAGCTTTAACTTTAGCTGTTGATGACGCAGTAGGTACTCCAAGCCCCACAAGACCTATTCGATCATCTTTAATCCCCGCAGATCGGATGCTCTTGTGGAAAAGTATGGTTCTGGTATGGATTATTTTTCTCATCGGTTTACTCTTTTCGGATAGCCGAAAATCAAGCCTGCGGTTAAAACGTGGAGGAAACTCGCGGACATTAACCCGAGACTGGAGATGAGGGACGTAAAATTAGTGATTGTGTATCGGAAAGTAATATATGACAGTCCTAACTCTACGAGTATAAGGGGGAAAACAATTATTTACAGGTTGAATATCAATATCAATATCCCCAACGGCCCCGTGGGGTGCACGATTCCACCCAAAAGGACGGTATCCAGTTTGTAAAATGCAATATCACTATGTACGTATGTTGTACTACCTAGGTAGTATGTAGGATGATCAAATACAAAGGTAAGAGCAAATTAGAAAGTTGTGATATTGTCATAGCCAGCGCCGGCCTCAGTCGTGCCTCTGATGACGACCTGTGGCCTTTGGATAGTGAGATCAGTCATATGCCATACCTCCAGGACTACTGACTTGTTTCCGGCACTTTGATATATATCAACGAGCCTTCTATCAGACCGGAGTTCAACATAGTCAACGTCAGCTTGATTGGCACAAAGCACATATGTATGCATGGAAACTGGCGGTTCCATTATTTCCACAAGCAACCTGATACCGAAGTCAAGGACACATTTGTTTTATTGTCCCTGGCAGTATGGTCTCATGATCAACTCGCTAGTGAGCTTCTTCCTGGACAGCAAATGTACGGATCATAGAAAGCCAATACTTGCTCGCACAAACCTGCACTAACTGATGTACACAATCCGATCACAGGCTACTCACTAATGATCACGCCCAAATCTGGTTCTGGGGGCTTCAAGCACGTTGGCATGGAGGACAACATCAAAGACAGGTATCTCAAGTGCACCCCATAAGTTCAGCTTGGCATTACTGAAGATCAACGGGTGCCTAGTTGGAGTAAAGGGAGGGAAAGAGAGCTGCTAAGCCATAACGGTTTGTAGGTGCTTGGCATCATTTTGATGAAAGCGGGGTGGATAACGAGTTGAATTCGATCATCCTAGAGATATTGAGTTTGTACAGAATATATCCCGATTGGACAGGATTCTCAGACCTGACAGACAGCATATGATATAGGTATTTTTAGAAAAAAATAGAGGAAGAGATGTAGTTGGATATACTTCTGGAGGTTCCAATTTTGGAAATGTCCGTTATGGAGAGTCCAGGCCCAGTCACGTGAACCCCGTTCTCATTACTCCGTACACCAGCGTCCTTTCGCCTAATCTCGACATTTGCTCTATTTCTCACATCAGTTTACTTTTTGGCTTCAGGAAATAGATACACGTTACTTGCTTTGACCAGTGGTCTTTCTTTCTTCCAATACCCCTATCCCGTCGTGGCCCTGAACCGCCAACCTTCCCCGCTTTGCTTAGTTTGTTGATTGCCGCGTGTTCGCACTGAACGGCAACATCCCTCCTCGGAAAGGAGTTATCGAGAATATATTTCGACCAGAATACGAGAAAACGCAATACAAACCACTGCATGCTAGAAGATCTCGCCAATCCGCCCATGTTGGACTTGAAACTTCTAAGTCTTGACGTCCCCTCGTTCTCCCAGCGCTTAATAAAATAGAGCATTCGGCGCATTACCGCCGATACTCATTTTGTTTGTCTTTGCTGGCCCTCGTACCTCGACTCTGGCGGTGGCGCCTGTGAACCGCTTATACCATTTCATCTCTACTATCGGTGAATATTATCTTACCACCAAAGGTCCCTCGTCATGTCTCTCCACACCTCCTACCACGCCGACTCCGATGCGGACGATGAGTACGAGCGCAGCGTCATAACTTCACCACACCTACACATCGACTCGGAATCTTCTCCCACCGACTCCGACATTCATTCATCAGAACACACACCGACCAAATTTGGACATCCGATCGATGGTCCTCGCTCACCGCGAGGACTAATCACAGAATGGGGAGTCGATGAGTGTAAGGAATTCCTGACATCGCTTGGATTGCTGCAATATCACGGTACATTTCGAGGTAAGCGGACTTATTCGAGCATATTGAGTTTGCGCTATTTACTGACCGTAATCTATTACGCAGAGAATGGGATTGTCGGTGAAGCCTTGGTCGCCCTGAAGCATGAGGAGCTGAAGGAAATGGGCATCAATAGTGTGGGACATCGACTGACGATTTTGAAAAGCGTGTATGAAATCAAAGTCAAGCAAGATGTTCCCCTCGATGCAGACCATTATATCCCACTTAGTATGTTCTCAGGTGGCCCTGTTTAGCGTCCCTTCTAATCATGCTTGCAGCGGCGGATCAGAGTATGAACGAAACTGCGACCCAAGAAGACCTCGCGCGGTTAATCAAATCGATCCAAGTTCGAGACGAAAAGCTCATGTTGGTCGAAACGGAGTTGCGCCGGATCACGGACGATTACCGGCGATTGCGCGAAGAAATTCTACCAGTGATCAAAATAGTAAAAGATCGGTCACACCCATTGCCCCCGCCCTCTTCGCATGGGCAATCTTCAGAAAACTGGCACGACAATACGGCCACTCTCACGTCAAATACCCAACCACAACCCACGCTCACCCAGGAACTTTCTTCATCGTCGAAAATTGCGCGAGCTTTCTCCAAACGCATTCATCCCAACGGTGCCAATTCCAAAAACAATTCGCCAACCCACGCTCCACCTACGGGCTATGATGGGCGCTCTCATCACGACACCCTCAATCCGTCAGCCGCTGCCATGGCCGCCTCATCCCATCTGACAACCTCAATGAATGGAGGGTCACAATTATCACCTGGGATTCCTTCACCAACGTCGCCTCACCACCATCACGCCCACCCTCAGACACTCAATCCACGATCATATACCCAACCACTCTCCAGCGCGAACCGCAACACAGCCTATGATTATGCCGAACAGACCCCAACAATACATTCTAGAGACCGATCTACCCCGAGTCAGCTTCCAGCATCCCGCGCCGAGACACCTTCCACTGCATCACGTCTTGACCCACGACTCGATAGGTCTGACTCACGGGCCGGTGGCGGCGGAGGTGGAGGCGGAGGTGGAGGCGGCAGCGAAAACCCAAATAGCGTGGAAATCTTCAAGTCATTCCGAGTGTCTTGGGAAGACCCTTGCTACAAGGTATTGCCGGCTGCTCTTAAGAAATACAACATCAACTCTGATTGGAAGAACTACGCGCTTTATATTGTTTATGGTGATCAAGAGCGTTGCCTGGAATTGCAAGAGAAACCCCTTCTCTTGTTCAAGCAGCTAGAAAAGGAAGGACGGAAGCCAATGTTTATGTTGCGGAAGATCCATATGGACAACCCTTCCGGCACTCCAGGGCCTGCAGCAGCAGCACCTAACAGTACTGGCTTTGATGGTGGTCGGCAGGGACAAATCAATCTTCCAGGCGGTGTGCTCTGATTTTTTCTCGATGCCCAACCTTCCTCTTTTGATGCACGCGCGTCTGGCTTGAGATACCCGGTGACTTTCGACTACGTGTTGGATTATTTCTTCCATTGCATTTGATTTTGTGGGCCATTGAACTGTGTCGTGATGTTGGTTTCGTCGGTGTTTGGTGTGCTATTGGAGATCCGGTATACCGTATTCGGAGAGGGGATTAATATGACATTGGCGTTTTCTACTTCTCTTGACGCTTCTATCCCAGACTCGTCAATGTGCCACGCAGCATTCTGCATCAGCCTTTTCTTTTTTTACTTCTTTCAAGATATCCTTGACTAGCATAGGACTTTTGTCCAGTGTCTTTTCTTTATTATAGCATAGTACATACTGAGCTTGTACATGAGATTCCCATTGCTTATTCACATCGTCTACGGCCTTGAATTTTATGACATTTTCAAATGAGACATACTTTCAATTCCAAATGAGACAGTCTACCACAAGCTTGTACACAGGGACTTGCTTCTTACACATGTATTCTATTGTAGGTGCTAAGCAACCCACAGCAGACTACATTACATGTATGGATTGTCTACAAAATACATTATCTGGTGCAATGCCCAGCATTCATCTGCTCCAGGGCTATTTAATACTTCTTGCAATATATCTAAAGGACTGAGATGGTCATAAACGTGAAGCAGTTTGTATTCAAATACACTCCGTATGCTAAATTAAGTTCCCAAATCACATAAGTGATTGAAAAAGGTATGTGACATCCTCCCCACAGCTAGCGCCCACGGGATAACCCGAAAGATACCCGAGCATAGCTATAAAGTGTTGTATAAAGAGGAACGCCTTTCTATACTCTCCAGGGCCGGGAACGGAAGAAAACCCATAGAGGCCGAAGCCATCGGATAAGCCTCAGCAAGCCACAAAGTGGAGCCCCGTGAAGTTGATATAGAGAAAAAAAGAAGAAAAAGAGCAAAGATGTGGGCGAGCCGTTCGTATTTATGTCTGTGGCTTTTTCTACGCTAGAGCTGATTGAGACTCGGCTAAAGGGTTATTCCGGAAGAGGCTATATTCATTTTCAGATATCAGAAAAATTCAGCAAAAAGAAAAGAAAAGGTCCTACCCGGGATCGAACCGGGATTGCTGGTATCAGAAACCAGAGTGATGACCATTACACTATAGAACCGTAATTGTTGTTCGAGCTCAGATTAAGGGATAGATGGACGAATTTCTCACATAGGAGACTACCCAGTATCCCACAAAGCCCCTAAGCATTCTAACCTGGTAAACCCTAGATAATTATAGGTACCTGTCTTGCTTCTTCTCGGAGGGCTTTTTAGTTTCCTATAAATCGGTTGTTATGGCATCGTTGGAAGTTTTCACGATATAATACATCTATATACATCTATATACATGTGTAGTTTGGGTAAGGTTGTTTTTAGCGGAGTACTACTGCTATAAGCTGGTATAGAGATCCAAAGTGTAGTGTCTTTTCTATTTTGTTTTATGAGTTATATTAGGTCCTCTCACTCCAACAAGTTCGGTTCTATAGTGTAATGGTCATCACTCTGGTTTCTGATACCAGCAATCCCGGTTCGATCCCGGGTAGGACCTTTTCTTTTCTTTTTGCTGAATTTTTCTGATATCTCAAAATGAGAATAACTCCTTCTTAATAACAAAATTTATCCAAAATTGAGCAACGCTGGGCCTGGATTTCTTAACCTCAAAGTGTGTTACCTACATGTAGGTATATCCACACATACAACCTTTGGACCTCGGTGGAATACGGAGTATCCGCCCCAGGCCGGGGGTTAAATAGACCTGGAGAATGGAGAAATAAACTCAAACGCGTGACTACACGCGCAAAATTTGGTTAGCCCCCGCAATCTTATTTCTGCCTCTCACCTTCAGTATAACCCCATAATCATGACTGGCATGACTGAGGGCTTTACTGTTGACCCTGTCGAGCATAGAAACAGTTACGTCCGGTCGCCACTGCCAACCAGAGTCCGGAGTGCCTGCGAAAGGTGTCGTCGCCATAAATCTCGGGTAGAGCCACCCTGATCCTGATCGGGACATGACATATACTGAATCCAACTTCAACCTAGTGCGATCCTGTTCGGCCTTGCTCGGTGTGTGTCCGAGCCAATGTGGATTGCCGACCACTTCCAACTACCCGACCACGAAGGGCCACTCTGCCGAAGTAAGCTGTACAACGGGATGCTTTTAACTTGTTCTTTTATTTACATGACATACTAGACGGCCGGGTTCTAAAAGAAAACCTCGAACTGACCGACATCGATCTAATCTGTCCCCGGCGAGCCTCACCGAAAGGTCGCCGGATGAAAATGGCCCTGGTCGCGGGAACGAATTCCTGATCAGCATAGATTGATAGATGCGCATCCTAGGGGCGATGATGCTGACTTCCATGCTGGCGGAGCGGATATGCCTTCGTCTCTCAACTGCGGTGAAGCCGAATCCGCCATAGGAATTGCTCGAAGAATCTGTCAACTTGGCAGCCATAACATTGATGAACAAACCACATCCGCCATACCCGGCTACCAGGCCAGCACCGGTGGTTCCACCGCAAATTCGGCAACAGGTCAACGGATTCCGATATCTTCCGTCTTGGGCCGGCCGTTCCCTCCTATGGAGCTTGTATACAGTCTATTGGAAGATTATTTTGATGCCGTGCACTGGTTTTCTCTTGCTGTTTACGAGCCGAAATTCAGAAAGAGCCTCCTTTCCATCGCGGATGGTTCTGCATACCCCTCACAAAGACCGTTTCTCGTGCTGTTAGCCATGATGCTTGGAATGGCATCGTGGTACCGATCCCAGAGGAGTTGCACAGATCCAGCCGATAACAGCGATGACATGAAGAAATTGAGTGCAGACTTGTTGGCACTGGTTGAGTCAAACCTAGTGGAATTGATGGACCAACCCTCAGTCACCTCGGCGCAGACATGCATCCTCTTAGGCTCGCATCACGTCTATCACGGCCGTCCAAATCTCTCCTTTTCTTTGTTAGGGGCGACCATAAAGATGTCTCAGTCTTTGGGGATGCACCGAGGACTTCTACGGGGTGATTTTGAAACAATCGAGGAAAGAAAAAGAGTGTGGTGGACGATTTACACATGGGACAGATTCGCGTCAATTACCTATGGTCGGCCACTGGGCATCAACGACAAGGATTGCAATCTTGACATGCCAGCGGATGTGTTTGAAAACCCGCATTTTGTTACTCCAGCCTCCGGTCAGGCTAGCCCCATATGCTATTCAACTTACCAGCGGGAGTTAAACCAGCTCTACTTGATTGCATCGCCTGCGCTCAAGACCGTTTTCGGCTCACGTACTCTAAGGACGTCCGAACAGCTAAACGGTGACACATATTTTGCACTAGTCAGACACGTCACTGAGAATCTCCAAAAATGGCGATCCTGCCTACCAAGTCATTTAACTTTGGATCTTAATCGGGACTTCGATCCCGATGATAGGCCGGGCTTGAGGGCATACGCCCTGCAGTCTCTATCGCTACAACTGACTTATGACAATGTGCTCATCGTACTGCATCGACCTTTGTTAGCACGGCAGGTTGATCATCTATATAATAAGCAATCACCGGGGGAAAGAACAGAAAACATTATGTACCATCCGAGCAGCGAACCCTCCGCCCAGTCGAACTTATCTCCCAACTCGGCATTTCCCAATACCCAGACCACAAGTCCCGATCTATGGATGAATGCCGCAACAAGAACATCGAGGGTGACAGAAATGCCGGCTCTAGCCCAGCTCGCCACCGACAGCCATCTCTGTGCATTTCTTGCCATCAACCTATTCAATGCCGCGATCGTGTTGGCTGTGATGGCTCTCTCAGAGCCCCTTTCCGATACTGCGCAGGAAGTGAAGCGAACAATTACCCGCATTCTTCGTTTGCAAGATCTGCTTGGAAGACGGTCTGCACTGTCAAAACAAAGCACGGCTGTGCTGAAGAATGTTGTCATCATGCTCCTCCGTCGTGAATCGGCGGCCATGCTTGCTCCCATTACGGGAGCAACCCAATCAAGCCAACTAGTGGGTCATCAGTCTTTACAGACCCTGGCAGATCCGTCGTTGATTTCTGTTGAAGACACACTTCGGATGCCGCTCGATGCGGCATGGGATTCTCGCAATCCTCTTGATAGAGACCAACGTCTGCCGGACCTCAGCAGGGCTGATCGCCTGAACAATAGCTTAACATCTGTCCAATATGGTGAGATCTATCATTCATTCGGGGTATCTAAAATAATGAACTTGCTAACACAAATATACTTTTCAGCCTTGGGTCCAGGGGATCGCTCTGCCGGTATTCATGTTGGAGATAGCCTTCAACCTCGTGAGTTTGTTGAGCCAGGCATACCGGCACATGAAGTATGGCAGCTGCCAGCAGAATACGATTGGAATATGCCTGGCCTGTCTCGGGAACCGGTGGAAAACAATCACCAGGATAGTGTTGAAGGCGGGTTGTATTGGTTATGGGACATGACGTGGAATGGGGTTGGAGGGTAATCGGCGGTCTATCTAAAAATAACAGTCGCAACGGCACGCGCTATACTGAACTTGCTTTTGCCTCTTCCTCGTCGACATTCGGGCCATAGATTACACTCTTAATTCCACCTCGACCAGCGACATTTTTGAAAGCGTCCTCAGCCTGGCCGAAAGGAAATTCATGAGTGACAAGACCATCCAGCCTGATTCGGCGCGAGTCCAGCAACCCAATGGCCAATTTAAAGTCTCCGGGCCCGTACCGGAAACTTCCTTTGAAAACAATCTCTTTGTCGCAGATCTGACCAACCGGAACTGATGGATTCGGTTTCCCCAAGCCGACTTGAACGAACGTCCCACCCTGCGTGAGGGCAAGGATACCACAGTTCAGACAAGGCTCAGCGCCCGTCGCGTCAAGAGCAATATCAACACCATCATCCAAACCAGCCATCGCCAACAAATCCGCCGCATTCTTGTCTGCCGCCTCAGTGCTCATTTGATACGTGTGCGTGGCACCGTATTTCACCGCGGAAGCAAGCCGAGCCGGAACGACGTCCACGGCGATAACCGTTGATGCACCGAAGGCCCGCGCAACGGCACAGCAGAGTAACCCGACAGGCCCTGCTCCAAATATAGCCACTGATTTGTCCTGCATGAAACCCGCCAATTGACAGCTGTGCACAGCGACACTAAGCGGTTCGATCAGGGTACCGTCGCGCAGGGATATGTGGGATGGGAGCTTGAAACAGCATTCTGCGGGTACGCGGTAGTAGGTAGCGAGTGTGCCGTCGTAAGGTGGTGTCGCGGCGAAGCGCATCCCCGACAGAGGTTGTAGCGACCGTTGCGACAATGATTGCAGGTGTTGCAGGCGATGCCGGGCTCGAGAGCGACTCGGTCTCCGACGGCGAGGCCTGCAGCACCGCTTCCGCTCTCTACCACGATTCCTGTTGACTCGTGGCCTAGGATTATGGGGTCTTCGACGACGTATGGCCCTATTCGGCCGTGTTGCCAGTAGTGGACCTGTTGCGGGGAAGAATTTTGTTAGTCTTCATTACATTGAGGAAATTGAAATGCTAAAAGAACGGGGAATGGAAATGTCGATGCCATTTCACTCACATCTGAACCACAGAGACCTGTTGCCATGACTCGGACTATGACATCTCGGTCTGACTGGAGCGTGGGTTTGCTGCGTTCTTCGAAGGCAAATGTGCCTCCGGGATGCAACACAAATGCCTGGTTGGCAGTCTAGATGAGTTCCGGTGTGAGCAGATGCAATATAAATCCGTGCATTGGGGTCAAGACTGGGCTTGGGCCTACCTGGGCAGCTTTTGTGACGGTCATGTTTGCGGAAATTTTCTTTTTCTTTTACTGAGCGAAGCTTCTGGGGTTCTACTGGGCTTTAAGTACTATTATGGAGGTCCTGGAGATTTTACCCACTCAGTTACATGCGGCGAACGGGTCCTAAGTATTGAGACTTTCCGGCGGATGGTCGACCAGCTCCATGTAGCGTCTCCATCGTCGACCCGTGTCCAAGAGCTAACGTGGACTAGTATCGGGATCCCGATGTTTTACTTGAATGTTGAAAGCCGGATAGGATCTATCAGAACTCTTGGCTCAAATGGCCATTTACTACATATTCTCACTTTAGCATATACTCCGGACCTCTAACACATAATCTCGTCAATATCTCCATATTTCGCGATCTTCAAATCCCGGAAGTTCAGGAACCGTGTCTTCCGCCGGCACAGAATTATATGCCAAGCTATCCCGGCATTTGATATTCGCCACCGGAACCGAGATTAGGGCTCCACCAGAGAGTCCCGGAACCGTTCATCCCCACAAAGGCACGGCCAATGTCGGCGGAAAGTTGGAGAGTTGAAGGTTTGACTACGCGCATGACCAAACAATAGGGTTTGCACGACCGAGGGATGCCCGAAAATCCCATTGGAAGTTGCTAGGTACTCCCGCATTGTCCAATGGCAATCCCGGGCCGCATTTCGGTAATTCACCGAAATGTTGACCCCATGGTGTACCTCAGGATCCATTTCCCCATTATCCTGGAGAAATTTACTCTTCCCCACAGAGAGGTCCGGGGTATAAATAAAGCCATTGCCCCCGATCAGCTACCGATGTTGTCACAAAATATCTCTTGATCAAATCCAAGAGTGGTTCTTTATACTTGTTGTCTCCGTCGGTCAATCCCTCTTCGGCACTATGAGTGTCACGAAATCCTCCGAGCCGGCGCCCACTGGGACCATCAGGGAGCGTTCCCTGGCCGTCGCCGCGCAAGTTGAGGAACAGCAGAGCTGGCTGGAGCGGAAACTCAAGCCGAAAAAGATTTCAGCCAGATACCCCTTCAAAGGCAAACCCTTACTGTATGCAACATGTGCCTTCGGCAGTCTGGGAGATGCTCTTTTCGGTTTCAATTCTGGTATGGTGTACACGAACATGTCATCAAGATCTAGCTGCTGATTTGATAGGTATCATGTCCGGCCTGCTGGTCAACGAAATATTCATAGCTCGCTTCTTCAAAGACTATGGCGGAGCCGACGGGTCGACAAGCGGGGTCGATCCCTCGATTACAGGCATATCGGTTGCATGTCTGCAAGCAGCAGCAGCGGTAGGAGCACTCGTAGCCGGTCGTCTTGGAGACATGATTGGCCGAAAGAAATGTGTCCGCGTCGGCGCTTTCATCTACTTCTTCAGCTCGTTTATTCAGATGTTTGCGCCTGGTTTTGCAACTTTCATTGTAGGTCGCACCATTCAAGGATTGGGCGTGGGATTTCTCTCCATGACCGTGCCTATCATTCAAACGGAGATTGCTTCCGCTCATCGCCGAGGTTTGATGGTGGGTATAGAGTATACCTTTTTGATCGCTGGATACATGCTTTCTTGTTGGGTGGACTATGGGTTTAACTTCTTGCTACCCGACAATATTTCATGGCAGGGGCCCTTCATCATCCAGATTGTGCTGTCTTTCTTCTTGGTTGCCATGTCCTTCTTCCTACCAGAGACTCCTCGATGGCTGGCGTTGAATGGTTTCGTGGACGAAAGTCTGCAGACGATTGCAGACCTACATTCTAATGGTAATACGCAAGCGGAGCATGTTCAGCGGACGTTCCTTGAAATTCAAGAAGCGGTTATCTATGAGAATAATCTCGGGAAATCTGGTTGGAAGGTAATGCCCCTACAACCTGTGTGACTTGTTAATCGTCTCGTGGATCACTAACCCTGGATCGCCACTTGTAGGAGATGTTCACCCGGTATCGCAAACGAACTATTGTTGGAATCACAGTGCAGATGTTCGCACAGATTAACGGAATCAACATCATCTCCTTCTACCTCCCGAGCACGCTCGCCGCCGCCGGCTATGATAATCGCAAATCCCTACTGTTCACTGCTGCAAATGCTCTTCCCTACACCGCTGCAACAATCGTCACCTGGTGGTTAGCGGACCGATGGGGCCGAAAGCCTTTACTCATTCTTGGAGGTCAGTTTCCGTGGACATCGCTATGAAGGGATATAATCGAGTTGATTAGCGACCAGAGGCTAACAAACTCAAACAGGTCTCAGCATGGCCGTGCTACTAGCCATTGTATGCGTCTTCACCGAAATTAATGTGGATATCCAAACCAAAGCGAACGGCCAGTATGCCTTCGTCATGCTTTACAATATCATGTACGGGTTCACCTGGGGTCCGATGCCGTGGCTTCTGCCCGCGGAAATCTTCCCACTCCGTGGCCGGAGTAAAGGCATGGCCCTGGCCACGACTAGCAATTGGGTCTTCAACTTCATTATCGGAATGGTTTCTCCCGATGCTTTCGCTGGCATTCACGGTTATTTCTACCTGGTTATTGGTGGATTTTGTCTCAGTTCGGCCGTCCTGGTTCACTTTTACTATGTTGAGACAGCACACCATACCCTAGAGGAGATTGCTGTTGCATTCGGTGACAAGGCATTTGCGGATTCTGATGCAGAGGTCATGGAAATGGCTGATGCGAAAAGTGAGCAGGTGGAATACTCGGCCTGAAGGAGATCTCCCGGTCTCGATTGTGGATCCTTTCATGTGTCGCTTTTCCTTTATGCTCTATTTTGTTTTATATATGAGGAATCTATGACTTCGTGGAGCTTTTATATTAATGCGTTGTGCTTCTACATGCATATTGATCCTAAGATAATCCTTGGAACTAACTAAAATTAATCCTGCCATGAGAACAAGATTAGTAAAATGAATATAAATTAGCGCATAGGAAAAATAAACAAAAAGAAAAAGAAAAGGTCCTACCCGGGATCGAACCGGGATTGCTGGTATCAGAAACCAGAGTGATGACCATTACACTATAGAACCGATTTTGTTGCATCACGATTTGAAAGTTGCCATGATAAGACAATACAAGACTTACAGCACTTGAACAAGGTGCTCATAACTATAACTAGTGTATTCACCAATTTGCCTTGTAAATGTCCTTCCAGTTTACATGTGCGAGATTTTCGTGTGGCTTCAACAGGGAGACATACCCGATGCACCACATCAAAAATAAAATATATAAAAACGACAAAAAGAAGATTGTGGATTTCCAGTGTGGGTTGATTATATATATCCACAGCCAGCCCTGGAGCCATACGAGGATAGGATAAAGCATATAGATGTATGTTGCGAGAGACATTCTAATCTACGATCCCATCCAAACCACACACAAAATCTCAAAAAAGAGAAGGACAGGAATATTGATTTTGCTATTAGAGCGACTATAGGTCTCGGAATCCAAAAGCCGACTCATAACATCATCTAGTAACTCGGCAAAGCTCATTACTGGCAGTACTAATACCAAGAAGATCAGTGTCCTTGCTAAATAAGTCATGGGGGAGACAAAAGACATACCCAGTTTTCACTTCCGGATTTCTGCACGCACGTCTTGCCATGGCAGCATACGCCGTCGCCGGGAGTTCCACTGCCGATTCTGCAGAGGTCTCCCGGACGATGGCAGCAAGGGAACTCATCACAGGCAGCCATTGCTATAGCCAGGAGAGGGGCGATCAAGAAGATATACTTCATTTTGATGGACTGAGAGAGTTAATGAAGGTGCTTTAAAGAGGAGGAATGTTATTACCGGAAGCTTGTAGTATAAAGAATCCGATAGAAAGATGATATATTAGAGAGGATTGATGATGAGAGAAATTGAAATCCCGAGGAACATATCGACGGATATTTATACCTTATGTGCTGCACCAGAAGTCAGTATTGCTGTCTAGTTTTAGGAAGAGAGTGAAGATCATCCTGGTAAGCCTGGGAAGTCGGACGCCTTGCAGTAACTTGGACGCCTTATTCTGCACATTAGGTGTTCGCCAATGGTAGAACCCCGTAGACGAGCACTATGGTCATTTCCGAATATTCCTATGAAGTTTGCATGATCATTCAACCTTAGAGGCTGTGCCTATACCAATCAAAAGTGAATCCAATTTGCTCAGGCTCTCCTGAAGAAAGCGCGTGAAGAAGTCCACGTTTCTCCAGGTCCTGACAAAATTCCTTTCTCACAAGAAATTCCTCTTCCGTGCAGTCTTGATCCACATAATCACGATTGTCGTCACTAGCCCCCCCCGGCGACTGTTGCCTTGCCGTAGACACTCTGTAATAACGACCTCCACCACACCCCAAGGCTATAACAGATTCCATGAATTATGCGACCCATGACCATATGCCACCGTTCCTTAAAAATTGGTTTGACGAAGGTGGTCACTTCGCTACTTTCCATCTTTCGGTTTTCGTTACTTTCTTTCACGTCGGTCCTTTCGTTCAAAAGTGTTTTCGTATACGCGGCTAATTCTAAAACCGTGACATATTTATTATGCCAACATTTGTCGATGATATTGTCAATCAGGGGATTGCCATCCAATTTCGGAAACTCCATGTTCTGTAGTAAGTCCACGACCTTAGGACCATGCTCGTAAGGATCCTCGGTAAGACAGCAATCTCCATAAACTTCAAAGCCGTAGTTTATCAAATAGTACAAGGACCCGAGGGCAAATTGTTCTGTTCCAGGGCCAAGAAAGCCAGGAGTCCCACATTCCCTTGATCCGACTCGTTATTGTTAAGTAACGGTGCCACGCAAGCTTCGTAATTTGTGCCAATTTTCGCTGTACAATCAAAATCGGATAGCTTTAGTCGGTTACGATCAAGTATAATATTCTCAGGTCGTAAATCACCATGGGCGAGGTTGACGGATTCCAAGAAAGCGACAGCTTGAGTAAGATCGTTCATCCATTCTTTTCGTAGGGGTAGAGGCTCCAACTTTTCCACTGTAGTAACCACCATAGTTTGCTGATCACGAGTATGATTTTTTTGTATCCTAGAAGAAAGTGACATGTCTAGGAAGTAAATTAGTATACAACCTTTTAGCTGCTAACAGGGGTCGCACCTCTCATGTACTCGAGGAAGATGCCACTGTTAGAAAAAGAAAAACACTGCACAATAGAGGGACAAGGCGGATTTTGCGAGAATACTTGATATATCTCGAGCTCTTTTTGAAATTGTTCCTTCTCGAATTCCCCAGACTTCGGGACTTTGACCACGATGCGAGGGTGGACCTCGTAAACAAAAGAGATGCCTCCGCCCCAGATCCAGTGAACACCTGGAAACTGGCGTTGGATATGCATGGTTGAAAGACGTGAGACGGAGTAGCAGTAATTCAAGGAGAGAAGGGATAGAGCAAGAAGAGGGAAGTACCTAGGTAGAGAGGCGCAGTGACATAATCAATTATGATTGGTTCAATTGGCTATGTGAGTGAACGTATTCAACTACTGAGTGGTCCATCCCAAATCGCCATGAAGTAAATGCGATAATTAATATCTGCAGGGGTTGAGGTAGAATCCTCGTTCCACCTAGGGCTTTCTTTAAGCTTTTGGTAGCGGATAAGTGGAGTTTTGGGCTATGAACTTCCTAAGTCCAGCCCACACAACAATTACGGTTCTATAGTGTAATGGTCATCACTCTGGTTTCTGATACCAGCAATCCCGGTTCGATCCCGGGTAGGACCTTTCTTTTTTGGCGTTTCTTTTTTGTTACAACTACAAATTTCTCCCAGCTCTGATATTATAAACAGTGTGGGAAATAATCAAATACTTCTACTTCTAATAAGCCTAAACTCAGGTGGGATGAGGTGTATAGTGAGGATTTGGCGGCGTCGTTCTCGAACTGGGTCCTGGGAGAATCAAATTCATCGTTATGATACCTCTTCCGTCAAACATATCTATGCCGTTGAACCTAACCTCCACTTTAGAGACGCTATATATGTCAACTTGAACAAGCATGGCCTGCGGGACAGATGTACGCTTATAGCTTATGGCGTTAAAGATAGCGATGTTCTGAGAGCAGAGGGAATCACAGAGAGGGGTTTGGATATAGTGTTATGTATCCAGCTGCTGTGTGCCGTAAAGGATCCAAACGACGTGATAAAGGAGGCGTGGAAGCTGCTCAAACCTGGAGGCAAGTTTATATTCTGGGAGCACGGATGCAGCAGGAATCGCTTGACGAGTGTAGCGCAAGGTATGTCTCTCTCTACCAACCTTCTTCCTTTCTGGGTGGACTCTCTAGAATTTTGTCTCCAGTGGAGAGATCGACTAGCAAGAAGAAAACCTAGCCTGCTGGAGTCCTACATGGAGCACAATTGTCGGATGACCCTTGACCCGGAACGTGTTGGCGGACATCCTCAACAGTGGAGTGTGGGAAAATCCGAACGAGATCGAAGAACCTGAAGAACTACTCAATTTGCTGCCCAGAATCTAGGGTGTGCTTGTCAAGAAAGCTTAGTTAGATGGTGATCAGAGCAAATAATAGAAAGGTGTTAGTCGTCTTCCCATAACTTAACCACTTTCGTAATCTGCCCCGAATAAAACAAAGCTAAATATCTTCTATATGGAACTTGCACACAGGAGGTACTCCCTGCCGTCTAACACTGTTCGTGCCAGGTGGGCTTGGCAAGATGAAGTTAAATAAGACCTTGGGGAGTTTATCATGTATCCTTATCATCACGTGTTGTCGTGTCTCGGACGCGTTGGACGACTTTCTTATCCCAATGGTCAAAGACACGGGTTCCGACAATCCTGACCACTAAACCCCGATGAGCTTGGATCGTGTTATTCAGGACTCTGACGAGGACGAACCCTTCGAGGGGGATGAAGTCCCTACCTCTGTCAATCCTCTCCACCCCTCCGAGCCCGCATTGCAGCAGGAATATCAACATGCCCCCGCCAATCAGACGACCCACAATGCAGTGTACGAGCACGGCTCCGCTCCTGATGAAAGCATGTTCCCACAATTGAACGTCAATTTCGATGAGTTCCTCCAATCGCAAGAAAGAGGCTATTCAATGCTATCGTCGTCGCAGCAGCGGCGGGAGGACAAATGGATCCCCTCAGCCAGTGAGGGTGGAAGTGGGTCGGTTGGTACGATGTGATAGCAGAGCATGAAGCAGAAAATAAATAAATATGTGATCTATATGCTGATACCAAAGATACTATAGGCGCCATGATGATGGAAATTGGAATCGCGCAGAGAAGACTTCTGGACGACGATCCTTCAAGCGCAAACCTACTGCCTCCCTCTACGGCCGCGCCATACTCGACAGAAACGTTTCAATCTGCACCGTTTCCTACCATGCCAAGTTACCACTCGTATCAGATGGATCAACCGGAGAGTGGCAGCTTCGCTCATAATCCAGCATTCATTGACCCCTACGTCGATGCGAACCAGACTTTGCTGCCCAGCAGACAGGGTATCTATGATCTGACTCCCCCTGGCGCCACTAACTTAATGGCTTCGCCTCCGAAAATCGTCCCTCAAGAAGTTACCGAGCCCTTCATAGAACAGGAGAACACACACTCAAACCCACCCCAGGAAGCCTCACAGCCCAAATCTCAGCAGACGGGTCCCTGTTCCCCCCATGACACCGAACCTCTCTCTTCCGTTGCATCCATGCGATTCAGCGAAGCAAATATCACAACCGCTGGAACCAGTCTCATTTCCCCGCAACAATCACAGTCAAGCACGCATGACGAGCTCGCTCTGCCAGCTGCCCCACCAACTGTGCCAGATGCCGAGATGCCCAGTGCAAAGAAGAAGCGCGGGCGGCCGAAGAAGCAACCCTTGCCAGATATCGACGAAGATGATGAGCTAGCCAACTCTCGGGACCACGAGTTCAAACACCCTGGTGCAAATGGTGCGATTGACCCCTCCGATAGCGAATGGACTACGGAAAATAATACCCCGGCCTCGAGCGGAGTCTCCGACGAGACTGACAAAGAAAATTTAGAAGCAGGCCCCAAGCCTGCAAAATCAGGACCCAAGGAGTCGAAAAAGAAGAAAACCAAGAAAAACAAGACGACACCCGGCCCCAAGCTTGACGCCGATGACGACGTGATATGGGTAGACACGAAACCTCTCAGCGTGGAACCCTCAACAGGGAACGCCACTCCGCAGACAGAAACCCCAGAGCCCCCAAGACAGGATTTAGACTCCGATGTTCTAGACACAAATCCTCCGATTGCTCCCCAAGCACCGATCCCCACACTTGAAGAGAAGACCCCAAATGCGCAAAACGCCGAAAAACCAGCACCCAAGAAACGCGGACGCAAGCGAAAGCAGACAACCGAGCAAGCGGAAACACCATCAGAGTCCGCAGATACACCCGAACCGAACAAGCCGGCGTCCGGAGCTCAGACCCCTGCGGCGAAATTGGCCGTCGTTGTCGATAATAGTCCCAAATCTATGCTGGAAGCTAACACCGACAACAACGATACAACTGCTATTCAAAACGACCAGAACCCCCATCCACTTCCTGGTCCTGACTCTCTCCCTGAAACTACAATTGATATGCCCCAGCCTCAGACTCCTTCGAAGCCCGATGCTGCGTCTGTCAATACACCACAGAACGCAGGCAAGGGCCCGGATAAGCATAGTCCCATCTCGGCGCGGAGTGGGGTGCCTTACCGCGTGGGATTGAGCAAGAGGGCGAGGATTGCGCCGTTGCTTAAGATGGTGCGGAAATAGGGGAAGTTATCTGCTTTCTTCTTGATTGACATCTTCATTTTGTGTTTACTGTTGCTGCTATTATTCTGCTATCATTATACCCCTCGAGAGAATGTTCTCGGCATGCCGCTTTGTTTTTTGTTTGTTTCTATTGGTATTGGTATCTGCATATCTTCCATGGTTGCATGTCTATGTATACTCATGCATTTATAGGAAGTGGAAGAAAGGTTGGATCATTTCATAATATCCTTCCCAGGTGTGAGCTGTGACAATTTGTGTTGAGATCTTCCGAGCTGGTCTCAATATCGAAAAGATACATTTGTGTTGAGAGTAGAACTTACAGTATCAAAGTATTGTATAGGAGCCTACGATCATCAATCGAGAAGACGAACTTTTGTATTGCATTGCAATTCTGCTACCTGTTGATAATTCCAAAGTTCCTATTCCATGAGCCAACTAACCACGCCGTGCCGACAAGTTCAAACGAATGGATTGGCCACAATAAAGCCACAGCATGTAAGTATAATTAAAATCTCGACCATGCAAAACTCAGCCGAACAATCATGGCAATCCAGTCCAAAGATTAAGATGATTCATCACATCCACATCGCAACAATCAAAGCAAGGAACAACGATGTTGCCGCCGCGGTGCCAATAGTTCGGAGATCAGAATCAGCTTCCGACTTTTGACCCTTGTTTTGAACATTCGGGTCCCAGGCATCCCCATTGTAAGGAGCCTCGACGGCACAATATCCGGCATCCTTTTGGCAGCCACTTCCACAATGACTGGTGGTATTGCCGCAAGAGTTATTACTACCACAGCAAAAGCCATAGGTAGACCCAAGGCAAGTATAATTGGAACCACAAGAGCCGTCCCAAGAGATCGGCTTGTTGGGATCTGCCGAAGAAGGCTTCTTTGGGTTCTTCTTGTGAGTGGGCATCCGGTCATCCTTGCGGTACCAGAGTGGCCTGGGATCACGGAGACAGTCACCGACAGTAATGGCGCGATAGCCCTGCCGCTTGATACCCTTGAGCATGTGCTCTGTGAGGTTGTGGACAGTCTGCTCATGAGCGTCATGGGCAATGACAAGCCAAGACTTGGTTCGTGGGTCGCTGTACAAAAGCTGGTGATCAAAGATATCCTTGGACCGCTGAATCAGATCTGGACTATCGTTCTTGTAGTCATCCGTGTCAATGTCATACAAAATGATGTGGTACCCACGCTCGCCCAACTCATTTCCACACTCTGTGTCAGGGCTGCAGCTGGAATAGGGCGGACGCATGTAAGTGGGGAAGTACCCGAGGATATTGCGTAGTGCAGCTTCATTTTTTTCAATTTGTTCGCTGCGCTGGGAAGGAGTGATCTTGCTGAGGTCCTCGTGCGACCACGTATGACTGGCAATCTGGTGGCCACTCGAGTGCATGCGTTCGATCAATGAAGCCCACGGCAGGGTGATATCGTCAATAGCACCCTTTCCATTATTGATGCCAGTGATGAAGAATGTCGCCTTCGCATCGTATTTGTCAAGCAAATCGAGCAGATCGCCAGTGTAACGTGTCGGGCCATCGTCGAAGGTCAATGCCACAGTTCCGGGGATAGCGCACGAACGAATCTCGCGAGGGCCGTACGGAACTTGCCCGATGTGAGGACGGGGGACTTCCTTGGTTGGGGGCCCATTTGGCGATCGATGAGCGTCACATTTACCGTAGTCAATCTTGCAGTCTGGAGAGCGGCAGTGCGCCTTGGACGTGCCGCAGAAACCTATCGCAGATGGCCATCAGTAAGCTGCTCGAGCTAACAGAATTTTGACGCATACCTGCACCAGAGCAGCATGTACCGACGGGACATTTGCCGATCTTGGGACCACAGCGGTAGTCCAAATTGTTGGGGGCATCCCGGGTGTCCAAATGAGACTCAGGTTCTGGTTGAGATTGCTCAATCGCTACGGTATGCACAGGACCGGCGATATGCAGTCTAGAAAATACACAGGTCGCCAAAGTGGTGACCAAGATGGGATGAATACGCATCTTGAGAATGGTATATAGGGTTATGTTATACCAACTGGGTATGCAAGATGTAGTAATGTTTGAGATAACACGAGGTGGTTCAAGGTGGGAGGAGAAGAGAGAAGAGACAAGCAGGACGGGGAAAAGGTAATGGAGCTAAATTCTACAAGAGGAAGGGACAGAGAAGGAAAGAGCGAAGCTTCGAGGCATTTGTTTACTTAAGAAACACAGGCAAGAGCAAATCTCCTGGCAAGAGCTCCCCACATTTACATATAGTGGAAGTAGATGTCGACGCTTGTATTCAATATGAACGTGGGTATCGTGAAGTCCATGGGCGCCTTGGGCATCGGAGGGTTGGCCTAAGAGCCCAGTACAATTTTTCTTGATTCAGCAAATCAAAGCCTGGGTGCCATCAGTATGATCATGACGTGACCAAATGTAGCTAATTCGGATCAGGTGCGGCATATCGAGCTCGTGCAGCAGCCCTCATCATCACGTGTAAGGGTCTCGGCTACAGTGTCGCAGTGTCGGTCAGACATCTATCAGTTGTAGGCCAGTAAACTCAGTTTGACCGGGTAATGTTATCCTCTCCGACTGCCGAGAAGACAAAAGGAGCAAGGGTATCCAGGTGTGGGCCAAACTTCGCAGGTGCAGTTCTTGCAATGACGCCAATTGCAGCGATCAAATGCCGACGCTGCACCATGGAAATATTCGAGGACAGTGTTTTGGTCAGATCGGACACAAAGCCGTTGAGCTGACTGTCGGAGAAGTGGAGCACAAGCACCGAGATGGCTGCCAGGGCGCGCTTGGTGACGACAGTTCCAGCCGTGTCGTTTTGGATGATGGCCATAACGGATACTTGGAGTGCAGCAAGCTCGGACTCTTGGAGAAGAGGACCAAAGCACGTCACGACCTTGATGAGCACATCGATGGCATCACTGCTGAAGCCCCGTGATGGATCCTTCTCCATCATGCTCTTCACCATTGAGCCCCGTCGCCCTGTGCTCGAGGGTGTCGGCCCGGTCAAACGGGGGACCAAGACCTTCGAAACTGCGGAGTATGCCGTAATCGCATTTTGAGATGCAGGCTGGCCCGGTTGGGGACGAGGGAGGGTATCAACGATGACGCGAAGAGCAGTGTTGGGGACGGATGTGTCTATCGTCTGGGAGGCAGTCAGACTAGCCAACTGCTCGAGGAGAGGTGTAAGGGATTCAAATGGCAAGCGGACAGCGAGAGGACCGAGACTGGTTCAAAGTTAGATATTTGCAAGGGCAGAGGGGAATAGCGCTCAGTACGAACCACTTGAGCGCCTGGTTCTGCACGTCGCCATGTTGATCATCCAGGGCCTTGAGCAGACCTTCAGCGAGTTTTGTTGATGTGCTACGGTCATGAGAGAGGAAGGAAGAGTTTGGGTTGGTCAGGATCCCATATAGATCGTTCAAGGACATGTATCTCAAGTCGGCATCGGGGTCGTCAAGCTTCGCTAGCAGACTGTAAATTGTCTGCTGGGTAACCTGGCGGTCCGCCATATTGCTGAGATTGTGACTGTTATCGGTAAATGCGGTCGAGGGAAAGCCCAGCTAATGTGACGAGTGAGGCAGTGGATATGAAGGCAAACGGGGAGAGCTTGCGGTGGTAGCTTTTGATAAACGCCGCAACGTGGGGTGCTCCCGCCTAAGGTGTCAATTAGTTGTGGCCTGAGGCATTAAATTACAACTACTCGACAACTTCTCAAAGTGTCGTTTTACACAAAATAACTGTTTAGAGAAGGTTCAATGTTATATTCAATTATAATATCTACGTCATCATTCTACCAATGAAGTTAACATTGAATTTGAATGTTCTCCAATTATTTGATCTGATAATCGGATAGACCGTTGGATCCACCCAATATCGAACCTAAGAAACATCATGATTGCAGTTCTATTGATACACATGTGCCAAAATTTGAAAGTATTGAAAGTTGTACCCTCAAGCTCTTCTACAAGTACCTTTTACTGCTTAATCCCACCAAAGCCAGTGTGTTCTTCCAAGTACCCAGTACATCGCCCAGCCACGCCCATTACATCACGACGCACAGACCCTCGGAAACAACCAGGATGCGGTCTTACGACACCTCCAGGTTGACGGGAGTCGGGATTCGTTGTAGTGCTAACTTGACTTAATACTCATCTCTACCCGTGGACTACTACCTAAACAATTCACTACCTATCACACTTTCCATATTCTCTATCCCTTCTACTCTATTCGTACCTGAGTTGCTTCTATACAATGGTCTTTGCACGCCGTTCAGTCTTCCGCGCTGCGACTGCAGCTCAGTCCTTCCGTGCCGCTCCTGTTGTCCGCCAGTCTGCCCAGATCCTCGGTCGCCGATTCAATTCTACTAGCAGCAGCTATCACCCAGGGCATACAACCAGTGACTTGCCTTGGTGAGTTTATAGTCTTGCTTCCGACCAGCTGACTCGATCTTCTAATGTGTCTCATTGTAGGCTCGCGGTCTCTGCTGCTGTGACCGTTCCAATGGTCTTTTACCTCTGGCCTTCCGGTTCGGAGGGACACCACGACGCTCACGGGGACGAACATAAGGAGGAACACGCGAAGGAAGGCGGCGAGGTAGAGGAGGCTGCTGCAGAGAAGCCTGCCGAGGAACCCTCCGAGGCGGCGCCGCAGAAGGAGGAAAAGACGGACACCGAGGAGAAGGAAGAGCCCGAGGAGAAGGAAGAGCCCGAGGAGAAGGAAAAGCCCGAGGAGAAGGAAGAGTCCAAGGAGGAAGAAAAGGAGGAGAAACCCAAGGATGATGACTCCAAGGAAAACAAGGACGACAAGAAAGATGAGTCCAAGGAGGAAGAGCCTAAGGAGGAGTCCAAGGAAGATGCTGGGAAGAACGAGAACGATGATGGCGAGTCTAAGAACTGAAGACGCCTTGCTTTGCCTTCAGCGGCGGCAGAGTCAAGCATGTTGACGATCTTCCAACATGTTAAGGTTTGATGTCCCTGCCCCATAGTGTTTATGTACCTGTACCACTACTAGATACGAGATATGAGATACCAGCCATATTAGCGTGTCGAAAAACGATGGCTTATTGGTCTATTCTGCTGGTCCGGTCCAATGTCAATGAGAGTTAATCGCTAATATAGAACCTTTCAGGATTGGATGTAGAATAGTTGGCCGTATCAAAATGGATATACTATAGAAGTTATAATTATGATTCTACGACGTCTTTTGATATCTTTTCTAGGGCAATCGGTTGCAGACTACATAGGATTCATGGATACGCCGCCCACCGTACTCTTTCCGCTTTTTTGAATATCCAGTAATAATAGCACGCCTTAAGACCAGAGGAGGAAGAAGAGAGGGAAATATCACTGTAATGATCTAATGGACTAGACACACAGAAAGGCCGAGGAGATATGAAGACGAGTGTTTGACAATCGGTCCCCGTAGTCAACCTCAATATAGCTTGAATAGAAGACCTAGACATAGAAAATATGTGTATGTAAGGATAAGAGACTAACATCACATATAAGGCTCAGACAATACCGTGTGATATCTCATCTGCAAATCCTGAACAAGGGACATTAACACGAAGGAATAAATATTATTGCAGCTCACATATAGAAGTCTATTCTAGATTGCATCCCTGAGATAGGGACGTGAACCCCCCTATGCAGCGAGGTAATATATCAATCCTCTCAATCTTAAAAACAGACATAAGGTCACAATTCTACCGATAGCATAGCACAAAGCTAAAAATATACTGAATTAAGCGTCAAACTTGTACTTCTCCTCCCGGTCCTAAATAAAAGTCAGCGTATATTTAAAGGGAAAAACCAGGATCAAAACATACCCAATACTTATTGAAACCAACACCCTCGCAAACCTGATCATAAGTCAAGATCATCGGCGGAGCTCCAACAAGCATACTCTGCTTAAGACCATCCAAAGCAGACCGCACACTCTTAAGATGTGCCGCAACCAATGTCCAAGGGTAAGCAACAGCACTATACCCAAGCCCAGCAAGGTCCTTAGCAGACAGGTTCTCAGTCTTTCCACCTTCAATGATATTACCGAAAATAGGAATATCGATTTCCTCCGCACATCGCTTCATCGCCTCCGCATCTGGTAGCGCCTCAACGAAGATAGCATCAACACCAAGACGTTTGAACTCTTGTGCACGCGCCATGGCCTCTTCCCAACCATGGATCAGAGCGTCAGTACGGGCAAGAATGAAAATATCCTTTCCTTCATTGCGGGCATCGCAGGCAGCTTGAATTCGAGCAAATGCTTCACCGCGAGAGACGACGCTCTTCCCCTTTGTATGACCGCAGCCTGTTAAAATACCCATTGTTAGTAAAGGACGATTCCGCCAAGGATCCCAATATCCGGAATACTCACGTTTCGGCCATTGCTGGTCCTCAATCATAACACCAGCTGCACCAGCGCTAGCAAAGCTCTCAACTGTCCTCTTGACATTCATCGGGCTCCCGTAACCGGTATCACCATCCGCCATAACGGGCACCGAGACCTGGCGCACGGCATCACGGATCTTATCGCACATCTCGGCCATGGCGATGTATCCCGTGTCAGGGAGACCATAGGAACTGGCGACGGCATAACCCGCGAGGAAAACGATTGGGAATCCTGCTTCTTCGACGAGACGGGAGGAAAGGCCGTCGTAGCTGCAGGCATGTGCTATGATCTTAGCTGGGTCGTTGTGGGCTTCCAGCATCATTGTTCTCAGGCGGGATGCTTGGAGAGAGGGGATCTTGCCTCGGACATTTTTCAATGCCAAGGTCAAGTCTGCCGTCTTTCCATCCGTGGACCCGGTTGCTGTTTCTGCGAGAGAATCAAAGTGGAAGGGGTAGGGGACTGTGCTGGAAGACATCGTGAAGGTTGGTTTCTTGGATTGATAGAGGATTGAAGTGCAGATGGGGGCTGAATTGAGTTCTATTGACGGGTTTTAAGCTGCTTAAATGCAATACCTGAGGCGGTCATTGTTTTCGTCAGAGCGGAAATTTGACGGATATTGGCAACTATCCGCTACCCGAATGGCGACCAGCCCAGCCCTTTCCCCCTCAGCAAAGGAGCATTCAGATTGGTTAAAAAGTAACCTGGGGAAAGTCAATAGCTTCCCCATATCTTCTCGGCCGTTTACTCAGAACACCCGTCATTTTGCGGGGAACCCAGCAGATGCAGGTTCTTCTATCCGCCGTCCTCCCCACGGGGTATGGAAGACTTGGCATGCTGAAGTGCAATATCTGCACTTTGATTGGACCCGCGCTATACGATGATATTCATCAATTGCCGCACATTGACTGCCGCGCATTGACCAGCAAGGGAGAGATATATCAACCTGGGTTTGTCCCTTGTCTCTACTGATCTCAGGGGCAGCAATCACTCCGGCTATTAAACGTCTTCAACCTATTGAATAAATTCAGACATGGCGGAAAAGGATCCAGCTGAGCAGTGCCCAAGCTCTCAACATATGGAGTCCAATGATACAGAGAAGCAACAGCCCCATGTGGTGATCCCTAAAGAACGACAGTCTGTCATTCGCAGAAAGGTCTGTCATTGCTTCATTACCATATTTCTTATTTTTTGCTTACTATGATCTAGTTTGATCGTCGCGTCTTGCCAATTGTATGTATTCTATACATTCTATCATATTTGGATCGCGGTAAGCATACCCAACTCGCTCATCTAACCCCCTATCTCATCAATAACCAGGAAACATCGGCAATGCCAAGACTGCCGGACTCGACAAAGATCTTAACCTCAGTGATTATCAATGGTCTTGGGTCTTGTATGCCTTCTATATCTGCTACATCATGTTCGAGTGGACTACGGTCCTTTGGAAGATTCTCTCAGCACATTACTACGTCGCCATTCTCTGTATTTGGTAAGTCGCTGGGTCCATTCTTTTGTTTCTATTTGCTGAGCGTGCTGGCTTTAGCTGGGGCGCAGCTGCAATGTGCAGTGGTGCAGTCAACACCTTCGGTCAGCTTGTCGCAACTCGGTCATTGTTAGGTATTTTTGAAGCTGCGTTTGGTGCTGGTGCACCATACTTCCTCTCTTTGTTCTATCAAAGACAAGAACTAGGACTCCGGGTATCTCTACTCCTTGGAATGTCCCCAGTTGCAAATTGCTTTGCTTCTGCTCTTGCCTATGGAATTACCCACATCAGGGGATCTATAGAGCCATGGCGCTACCTGTTTATCATTGGTGAGATTATACCCCCACCTAGTTCCATCTGTCCTCAACGCTAACTATAAACAGAGGGAGCACCAACGGTTCTCTTCTCAGTGGTAGTATTCTTCTTCCTCCCCGACTCACCAGGCTCAGCATCCTTCCTCGACGAAAGAGAACAAACAGAAGCAGTAGAACGCATGCAATCGTTCGACACAACAAAGAAAAGTAAAGTCAGCTGGTCCCAAGTCTGGAGCGGATTATCAGACTACAAAAACTACATCCACATGTCCATCCACTTCTGCTGCAACTACTCCTTCGCGGGACTCTCAAACTTCCTCCCAACAATCATCCAGCACATGGGCTACACATCCATCAACGCCCAAGGCCTATCAGCACCGCCCTACTTCGTCTCCTTCCTCTGCTGCGTCGCAGCCGCCTTCCTCTCAGACAGATGGGGAAACCGAGGAATCCTAATTACATTGTTTGCAAGTATGGCGACAATCGGGTATCTACTCCTCACATGCGTGCAAGATGAATCAAAGACTGCGGCGCGGTATGCGGGTATTTGGCTAGCGACATGTGGGATCTTCCCTGCTCTCGCGCTGAATATTACTTGGTTGTTGAATAACCAAGGTGGGGAAAGTAAGAAGGGCGCTGGGATGGCTATGCTTGCTATTTTTGGACAGACGTCTAGTTTGATTAGTAGTTCCGTGTTTCCCGATTCTGATGCGCCTCTTTATACGCTTGGGTGTGGGCTTGCGTGTGCTTTTACTGGGTTGATTGCTATCTTGGCTATGGGGTTGAGTGCGAAGTTGACTTTGGAGAATCGGAGACGGGATCGGGTTTATGGGGTTGTTGGTGTGAATGAGAGGGTTGATGTTACTGAGGCGGGTGATAATCATCCTAACTTTAGGTATTTGACTTGAGGGGTTTGGGATAGTTCGTTCATGTGTGAGCTGCCTGCTGTTATATTATTTGTTGACTGCCATATGCTATTGGAAGACTGGAATCCATTCTTTATTTATCTGATGCTATACTTTCATGGAGGTAATTGCCACAAAAAGTCCAAATCCAAATCAACGCCATCCATCCGAACCCCAAAATCCCCCTCTGTAGACCCAAAAGGCGCCATGGATGGATCCAAAGGCAAAGATAACCAGTCATTCATAGTAACATCCAAGTCCCCCCAGGTCCATAGCCGACATGTCACCATATAAATTCGGGGAAGGAAGGTCATTTCCGACTCCAGAGTATGAGGATACCAAACTTTCTCGCAGACGCGAGACTTGGACTTGCAAAAGAGCTGCGTAGTGGGATTTCAAATGCATATCATCCTGACTGCTGTCCTGCAGTGTGGAGATGGCTCGATCAAGGATCTGGAGTGCCTCCTGCAGTTTTGAATTGCGTACACCCAAAGCGAGGGCCTTCATAAGGAATATCGACGCGCTTATTGTTCGGAAGAGTATCCTCATTGGTGAGAAGTGTAAGGATCCACCCAAGAGCGTGATCTTGTCGAGAGTTTGGCAGCATCCGTCTATTACTTCTTCGATAAAGCCGTATTCTCTTGCTGTAATGTTTAGCTGTCTAGCGCGTTCGACGAAAGAGAAGTCGATGACTGAATCTCTTTGTGACGATGATTGGGTTTGGCTTTGGAGGACTCGTTGGACAATCCTTTGCATTCCGATGGAGTTGGTGAGGATGCGTAGGTGTTGATACTCGATGAATAGGGTATCAGTGTAGGGGAAACTTGAGTCTATATAAGGTTAGTGATGAATATAGATTTTGACCTTTCAACGCCATACCTGAGATATGGAGATATCGTTGTTGCCAGCTCGCCAACATGACCTGTTTTCTCTCCAATACAGGGATGAATGTGTCCGATGATCCAGCCGAGTTTGAAATATTCATGAGAGGGAAGAGAGTGTCCGTGACCGAACTGGTCAACTTCATAAGTTCAATCCAGGCATTCATGAACAATAACCAGTCTCTATCGATAGACTGCAAAGATGTTCGTGTTTCAGGCATGGAGATCCCGACATCAGATGGCACTGGCGAGGTACAACCTATCCGTGAAGATAAAGCATTGATGGACGTGAAGAGTAGACTCGGCAGTCGCTGTCGCCGTACCTCAATGTATTCAAGATATCGCTCGGCGTCGAGACCCACTAGATCATCTTGCTTGGGGAGTCGAGCGCTCGAGTCAAACACACCGAGTTCATGTGCGAGAGCTAACGCGGAGTTGAGGACCATCCAGGACATACGTTCAAACCGCTTCGTGGGCTCAACAACATCTTCCCGCCATCTGGAGGATACTGGGATATCTTCATTCAAAGAAGGTGGATCTCTGATGTCCGGGTTTGTCAAGAGAAAGTCTGAATCCCATCCATCTGCCTCTGGTGGGAATTGTAATGCTCGTGGATGCCATTCAGACATGAGTAGTAATGCTTCAATGCTTCCTATCGTGCGTGTTTTGGCTTTCGAGATTTTCTCCTGTCCGAGTGTAATCCGAAGAAGCAAGTGTTGGCAATGTTGCCATAGACGATGATGAATGAAGAATGAGCGGGAAGATCCGCCAACTCCAGGAAGAGCGTGGTACCGAGAGGAAATCATGAGTATGGTGTAGCAGAGCATTGGTTCTTGGGTTACTAGATAGTATTGGTTTTTATGCGAGGCGAAAAAGTCTGTGAGGACGGGCGATAGGGGTGCCATGTTTTGGAAGAATCTGATTATTTTGAGATTAGTATACCAGCGCAAGCATCCGATAGAATGTACAGCATACAGGTTTATCAAAACCACAGCCTCCTGGGCAGAGAACCATCCCATTCTCACGAATCGACATGCATTCCAAATGCGGAGGACATCGGGGTTGGTCGGCTCTGGGGGCTACCGATCGTGGATTATCTGTCGCTGATATGTTTTGAGAGGGATCATTTGATTCCTGAAGCGCGGCCTCAAACAGGATATTCATTGCATCGTTGTTGTTGGAAACCACAGTTTCTAGTACTGATGTGGAAAGACCATCTTGATTGACTGGTACATCTGAATGAGAGTCTGCTAGGTGAGTTTTTGATTAGCTGCAATTTATTTCCTGCACAATTTCTAGAGCGCTTGCCGTTAATCTCCTTGTTTCCTTCTGCAGGTTTTCGGATAGTTTTCCGTGATCTGTATAAGTCAATCCCACGATCTGTTAGACTCAAGGGAAAACACACTTATTAGACCCATCTCTTCCTGTATTTTCCCGTGATGGTGTTCCAAGAGGATCCTTTTCGTCTCTTGACCAGGGTTTCTTTGAAGTAAAAGTGCAATTGATGTCCTTCTTGATGCATCTGCGGCATCGCACATCGTCGCCAGCCTCGCACTTCACTTTGCGTCGCGCACATGGAATACAAGCCTTGTATGTCCGCTGATACTCATATTCAAGAGATCCTCTCCCTCTTCCCTTTGTACGGTCCATGAATGCTATACCGCGGCGATGCAGGACTTGGGTGGAGAATGGCGGGAATTAGACGAAATACCCGCACTCGGGTATTTCACTTTTCGACCCCTCACTGAGCATACCAGCGACTTCGGTCCTATTGGCTTATAACTTATTCAAATTGATTTCTATACTTCAATTGTTATATTGACTTGAGGTGTTTAGGTCCAGGATAACCAGTCAAGCTAGAATATGTCCGCCGTACTCTCATCGTTTCTTAATGTCCAATAACAGGAGCACATCTCAGAACGTAAAAGATGAATCGTAGAGAGCATTATGATTATATTTATCTAAATATATCACAGGGAAGAATAGCAAGGGAGCAAGCTGCCTGGACATCTCACTAGGACTCTTTCAGGATCACATGGCAAGTCCGGTGACACCACGTGACACACGAAGCCCTTTGTTCTGGCACTGTGTGCAACGTCTTAATTGAATATTTGGAGGCATTTTGAGCTTCTTTGCCCTCTATTTCTATACCTGGACTGCTTATTCACCCTACATATGCACCTAGGCATGAAATTAGTTTACTAGAGGAGGGCAACAGGTTGACAACATAGTACAGTTAGTACAGTTATTTGAGGGCCTAACTAAAAACGAGCGCGGTCCCCATTGCGGTCCAGACAGACAGAAACAAAGTAAGACATGGAAGCAGAACACAACGATCCTAGTCTCCTGTAGACAGCATAAGACTTCATAAACATAGGAAGCTTAGGAAGACAGATCGACAAATAACCCCCTTCAATCAGTTCATTCCGCAGATGAAGCATTGCAGGTAGAGAGTAATAAACTTGGATAGCCCTGGAGTTATTTGATTACGTCCATGTAGCCAAGTTGAATTAAGTCCGTACGGTAAGATTCGTATCAAAGCCAGTCCAATAAAAACAAAGTGCATACATGTATGCACATCTATACGTGCATCCGCGGAAACGGAAACGCACGGAAGCTCTCTCTTACTTTCCTTTCTTACAAAGTTTCTTTCTTACTACCTCAGTCCTTCAGCCTAGGTCCACCGCAATCGCTCTGGTCATAGCTCTTATTAAGAGCGAGGCTGTCTTTGATGTTGTCTCGTGTCTGGTTCATCCTAGAATCGGGAATAAACGGCAAGAATCCCTTCTCTACTTGTCTTGGATAAACTTCATTACTGACAATACTTGAATTGCAGCAGATGCGACCCCAAATATGCACTGGCCTACAAATTCCAGCCATAGAGCTGGGAAGATTCAAGTCTCCGTCAAATGCTTGGATATCGTGGCTTGCCACGATTCGAGGATCTGCTATCGTCTCCCGATATAACAAGGGAAAGATAGTTAGGACAGATTCGATTCATCCCCCCGATTCACTGGGCCTCCTACGCTTGAAACCTAGGCCCTCCAAAATCAAGTATAGGAACTGCCTTCTACATCACAAGCATGGCTTCGCCTCGGTTCGAATGTTTAACCCAGTCTGCCCTATTGTGCGCTGAACCGACAAATCGGGCCTTCCTCTCTACTTTGCTACAACCCCTCGGCCTTGTTTGTCCTCGCCAATCTCTGTGCGTCCGAACTGGCCTACAAATTCCAGCCATAGAGCCGGAAGGTTCGAGTCTCTGCTATCGTCTCCCGATACAACAAGGGAAAGATAGTTAGGCCAGATTCGGTTCATCCCCCCGATTCACTGGGCCTCCTATGCTTGAAACCTAGGCCCTCCAAAATCAAGCATAGGAGCTCCCTCCTACATCACAAGCATGACTTCGCCTCAGTTCGAATGTTTAACCCAGTCTGCCTTACGGTGTGCTGAACTGACAAATCGGGCTTTCCTCTCTACTTTCCTACAACCCCTCAGCCTGGTTTGCCTTCGCCAACCTCTGTGCGTCCTATGTCTGGCCATAGGCAAACTGGAAGTGGCTCATACCTAAGGCTTGGGAATCTACTGTTTCTTCATATGGGGAACGAACGCCAAAAAGTCAACACAGACCACTCAACTTCTCCAATGAAGGGCACTTGCTGCCCTCGCTGATATGACGGTGCCTGGATGGGAATATCTTTCAGCAAGCGTCGCCGTCGGGGTGAATATGTGTGGCCCAAACCTCCTCTTACTCTTACAACCCACACGAACAGCAAAATTGCCATGTTCGGACCGACACAATCGAAACTTTCCAATCATCTGGCTTCCAATAATGTGTGGCCGCTTTCGATTACGCATCATTTGAGTTGGTTCTTCTCTTTTCATACGGCACTAAGGTTTTCTTGATCTTTTCTCTCTCAGAGAAGACAGCTATCATGACTTGTCAATTCGCTATTTTCATCAATATGACACCGATGTCCACATTTTGCTTGGCCATATTCAGAGTAATCTGAAGAGTAAATTCAGTAGGAGATGACTATTGTGACTCTCAATACTTATGTTGAGGTGATAGATAAGTAAATGCATGCTTATCGGCTCTAAGTTAGGAAGCTGCTACATCTGCCTTCCACTTTAAGAATCATCCATTGCCCTAGCTCACCTCATGTCGATGGATGTAGTTTGGTTGGAAAAATAATCAGGCTGATTGCTCACACTAATATATAGTTGAGAGGTTTCTTTGAGGTTTCATATTTGCTTGGTAAAATAACATGGACTCAGAAGACATCAAAAGCGACAACAATATGTTAATACAAACACAGATGAAGCACAAGAATGACAGTAAAACATTGAAGACTGGCAATCCAGTAAAAATTACTTAATTCATATGCTCGTCAAAAACAAGCGCCGGCGCCCGCTCTTCTAAAGGGCTATCTAACAGGCGCAGCCAATACACCAGACTCAGACCCAGCTTCAACAAATACATAACAGCATATCAACACATCCAGAGGATCAACTGGAAACCCACCCGATCCAAAAGTATAACTATAACACGGTGAAGATCCCTGGCTTTGATGCCTGGGTAATCAATTGAATGGTAATCGATCGAACCGTAACCAAAGCGCTCGGCTTAGGCCTTTCTGCTGCGAGTGCGAGGACCACGCTGTTCGGCGACGGGCTCGCCGTTGACCAGAACCTGGGGAGTGTGGTTCTCCTTGCTGGTCTCATCTACGCCAGTGGCAATTGCCTTGGTTGCGTTAACAGACTCGAGCTCTTCTTCTTCCTCTTCATCCTCGCTGCGCTCGTCTTTTGTGACGTTGGTGAAGATGTAGTTCATCAGAATGCGCAGGATCAGGAACAGCCAGAACAAGTTAACAGCCTGCAGACTGGCAAGCAGCGCAAAGGTGATGTACTGACTGATCCAGCACTTGTACTGCTGTGTCTCCCAGTTCAGCTCGAATGGTCCGACAGTGCGGAACTCAGTCAGGACAGCCCAGAGAATCTTCAGATTCAGCACGTGACGCAGGTAAATCCACCACCCCACGAACATGGCAAAGTAGGGCGCAGTGATATACGCATCCAGATAATTTAATGTCTTAGAGGTGGCCAAAAAGAAGTCGGAGATATCGTGCGTGATATACACCGCCAAGCCCATATACGTGAAGTGGAAGCGGTAGCTCAGCGCGATAAGCGCAAGCGTGATAATGTGATGACCAACCAGCTCCTTGAAGTCCTTACGAGGCTTCTCCAACTGCAGCATCAACACAATCGCCTGCTGAGCCCAGTAACTCGCCTCGAGTAGGTAGTATGCCTTGAACAGACCCTCGTGCTCACGGTGCGGGAAGCCCTCAAACATCGCCGTCGTGTTGAAGTACCAGATACTCGACCGCTTCATCACGTACAGACCAAACGGCCCGAACACACCAAAGTACACTGCCGTATATGACTGCTCCATGAACCGCGCCGTTTTTCCCTTCCCGCGGATACCGCACCACACCGCAAATGGTCGGATCATCTGCTGCATGATGAATTCGCGCGTGAACGACAGCACGATGGTGTAGAATGCCACAAACGCAATGTCCTTCTTGCCCTTGCCGTACATTATGGGTCCGCCGGGGGTCTTCGGGGGCTGCGGGTAGGACAGGAAGATGGCGCTGTGCATTGGGTTCGAGGTTGTGGGGTTGATGGCGTACAGCGCGATCAGGAAGAGCATTAAGAGAAGCGGAAGGAGCCAGGTGTATCGCAGACAGGTATCGGCGAAGCGGTGGAGGAGGGAACGGCTGCGACGTCGTTTGGGTTGGGCCTTGGTGGCCTGTTTTTGTGCGCCATCGAATTGCTGGCGGGATGGGTTAGTATGGAGGATTGCGCAATGAATTTCGAGACGTACCTTCTGATCTGGTGATGTTGGCTCGATCGGACTCACTTCGTTCATTGTGGACATCGCTGGTGCGCTGGTGTCACCTCGAATGTCCACGCCCAAGGCTGAGCTTCCCCGCGGGCGAACCATGACGACTGTAGGACCTTGGGAATCTCTAGCTTGCCCTTTTTGGACTCGGAGGGTTCGAGCTCACGTGCTCCGGAAAGAGATGAAAAGAAGGGGATAGAGGAGGGAGGAAATTTGATCATAACCCGGAACGATCGGATAAGAGAGGATCGTGAAAGGGCGATCATTCTTTTTTTTTTCCAGGGGGAACTCCACCCCCCCATTGACCAGACAGCTTCACAGCTCCGATCGGAAAGTCTTGGCATTCTCTTTTCCCTTGGGGGTTTCGGATTGGACAAGTCGCTCTTTTTTGCTCGCAAGATCCTTATATACGGAGTACATCCTGGGCTGATTTGGAATCTGTCTACGACTGTCAATCAAAACGTCTACATTTGCGAGGCTGCCGTTCTTCCGTGGACAACGCCAAGATACTCATTTAGGATTCAGACACGTATACGACCCTACAGGTCCGGATACGAGCAAGTTGAAGGTTTGGATGAAAAGGTCGGTCAGACTGAATTCGTCGGTATATGCAACTTGTTGACTTGTATTACATGACCTCATATCGGCATTGATCATCTCTAATCCAAGAGAGAACAGGAAAAAAAAAAGACAAAGACAACCACATTATAACGGAGCCAACTAACCACTCCTTCTATACACTCTCAACATTTATGCGTGCTCAGTGTGAGCAGCAGCACGCTTCTCAGCACCGGCCAGCTTCTCGCCAATGACCTCAACATCACCCGCCTCGGCAGCAACAGTGCGCTTGGTATCGTGGGTAGTCTTCCAGGCTGGGGTACCGATGTAAGGGATACCGTTGGGATCCTCAAAGATCTGCTCAGTTTCCTCCAGAGTCTTACCAGCAGTCTCGGGGAACAAGAAGAAGACGTGAATAGTCATGGCAACCAAGAAAACACCGAAGATGATATAAGTTTGCCAGCGGATCGTGGCAAAGGCAGTGGGCACGAACAGACCAAGCGCCGTGTTGAACGCCCAGTTGAACGAGGTGGCCAAAGAAACGGCCTTACCACGCACGCGCAGAGGGAACAGCTCAGGAGGGTACACCCACGAAACAGGTCCCCAGGTCGGGGCGTACGACGCCACAAACAGGTAGGTGCAGGCAATCAGTCCCTTGGCAGGGCCGCCACTGAGAAGCATCGACGCCTCGGCCACACCTTCAACACCGCCAGGCACGACCTCACCGTAACTTGCCATGATACCCGCGTTGGCGAACATCCAGGTCATCATGAGGAGAGCGCCGATCAGGAGAGTAGGGCGACGGCCCCAGCGGTCAACCCAGATCAGGGCGGGCACGGTCATGATCACGTTGATGATGTACTGGATGGAGGAAGCGAGGAGGGTGGCATCACCCTTGTATCCGGCCATGGTGAAGACGTAGGTGATGTAGTACATCATGACGTTCATACCGGTCAGCTGGGACCAGATTTGGGTCCAGACTCCGGTCATGGTGCGGTGAATCATCTTGGGTGTGAACAGCTCGAGGTAGGTGACGTCCTTGTTCTGCGCCTCGAACTCGCAAATGTCGCGGATCTCTTGCATCTCAGCCAAAACAAAGGGGCTGTTCATATCGCCCTTACCGTGGACTAGGGCCAGAACAGACTGGCACTCTTCCCAGCGGTCCTTGCGGGCCAACCAACGAGGGGACTCGGGGAGGATCATCATTCCGAAGAAGAGGAGAACCGCGGGAACCGCCTGCAGACCCCAGGGGATACGGAAGACGGACTCGCTGTAGTTCTTGGAGGTGGATTCGTTACCATGTCCGATGAATGAGCAGCCGAAGGAGATACTGTGGAAAAAGAAAGAGGTCAGCTACCGATTCAACCTTGGCATGCCAACCGCAGGTGTGCCACATACTAGTACATGATCAGAATACCCCAGGTGATAGCCCACTGCTGAGAGCCGACGAGACGACCGCGCTTGGAGGAAGGAGCAATCTCCGAAATGTAGACAGGAACCTGAGCGGACTCGATTCCGACACTGAGACCGTTGATGACACGTCCGGCAATAAGCATACCCATGTTCTGGGCAGCGCAAGTAATAACGGAGCCGATAATCCTAACAGAATATTAGCCACGACGGTCCAACACCATTTCCAATCCAACCATGCAACCACGCAACCACGCAACCACGCAAACATGAAAACATGAAAACATGAAAACATGAAACCATGAAACCACTTACCAAATGATACAACCAACCATAATAGCATACTTGCGACCAAGACGATCCGAAATGAAACCAGAGATAAGGGCACCGAGCCAAGAACCAGCAGGCATGGCAGCGGTAACACCACCCTGAGATAGGGAATCGAGACCACTGCATTTGTCATCGTCGTTGAACGGAGGGCCTCTAGGTCCTTGATTGAAATAACACCTATAAGCCGGCGTGCCGATAATGGCCGACATGGACGAGATATCGAAACCGAACAGGGCACCGCCAATGACGGACACCGCCGTGATGACGTAGAGATTCCCTACGACAAACATGGTGACTGTTGAACCCAAGTCAGGGGAACAATGAGGGTGCAAAAAAGAGAAGAGATCTACAGAAAAACCGAACAGGAACGAGGAAAACCCTCCCTACTTAAATAGATGGCATACCGGGAAAACTCTTCTCTATAGTAATGCGCGACTAATAAAACCCACCCGCATATAGGTATTGTTCCGTTCTGTTTTTTCCCTCCCCACTCGCTGACCCGTGTTATGTCCGGGGAGAGAGAAATTAGTGTAAAATATGTGACCATCTGTACACTGTCCAGATTATGCCAAGACTCCGCTTGCAACCCCAGCTACCCCTGTGCACTCTGATTGGTGAAATGTAGATTATGCTTATCCACCCACTCCACGGTGATTGGTGGACATACACCGGCAAAGACTGGGATCCGGGGAATCGACCACGAGACAAAATTCTAAGCCGAACAAGGCCAAGCGCGGTAATTTCGAGAATTCCAAGGCTATCCCGAACCCGGCAGCCGTGTTCGGGTTTTGAAAAAGGAGTCGGCTAAGTACTGCAATCGGCGTGGACGGCAGTGGCGTTTTCGGGCATAGATATAAAGACATCTGGAGAGAAAATAAAATTGTGGTTCTTGTAAATCAAAAAAAGGGTCAGAGTGCATATGGTACGATTTTCCGGATATCCCCAGATCAACCCACAAAAAACGTGCCTGGGGACATCATTTCCCTGTCGAGAAATCAGAAATCAAGAAACAGGTCTCACTTGCATGGGCAACCACAACCCCTTCACAACGTGTACCGGGGTAATCTTACTGTAATTTTTCTTTACAATTTAGCCGGGAGTGTCCACTATGACCTGTAACATGTAACAAATGAGAAGTCTCCCCTTCCAACCGGTGACCCGAGCACACAATAGTCCGGGGCCCCGACTACGGCCACTTTCCCAGAACGGCACGGTACACGGCTTCTCGTGAACTTTCAGTGGCTGCCGTTCGCCGAAGTGGACTCGGCTTGAACTCGGCCTGCGGTGATTTTTTTCCCTTTCTGGACCCGCGTTGGCAATTCTTGTGTCGCTTGTTTCTTTTTTGCTTTTTTCGTGGTTCACTTCTGCTGTAAAGTTAGATTGTGTTTCAGGGCGATGGATGACCTGGTCTTCTTACTGGCTATGTATTAGGGTGGATCAATAATTCCCACGTTTGTACGGAGTACGGATATTCCGGACATCGTCGATAATTCATCTAGATTTTCGAGTTTTCATCTGGATATCTCCGGTGTGACATTCCCCGCGTGGGAAAGATGCGGAGGACTGGGGAAATCCCATTTGCGCTCACCGAGAGAACATTCCCAAGGTTCCCCCGTAGTTTTGGTCCAAGCCACTGACATCGATCGTGCAGGCCGGTACGTTCTCCTTATTGCACGGACCATGGTAATCTAGTTAAAATGCATTCCAGGAATGACCGGGATCTTGTATACAATGTACTCCGCATGTTCTTACTCCATACGGAGTGCTCCGTACGGAGCACTCCGGATATACATAGATAGGATGATCGGGGCCTCTCCTATCTGGACCACTTTCTAAGGTAATATGCGAGATTAGTGTAGATATACTGCTATTTGTACTTTGTACAATTGACTCAACTTACACTGTAGGGTATCGCAGTGTGGATAAAGCAGCAGGGGGAAACGCGTGGGTTCTATATTAAGCTTGCGGCTTTCGATCTATCTCATTGGTGTACTGATCGAACTCCGCAATTCCCCCGAGATTCCTTTCATGTGAAGCGCTCGTCGACTCTCCATTCCCATTAGTTTAGTGGATATAATATGTGTTACTGACTACCTGGGAAAAGCGTGCAGGTTAATCACCAGCTCCATTGCCTTGCGGGTTTTCTTTATTCAAACTATTCAACTATCCAGCTATTCGGGACATTAGCTCACTTCTGGCACAGAACCGTTTGAGACAGTTTCTGTACTTACCCTACTATAAGCACACTGCTTTCGCGAAAGAACACGGAGAGTCTTACACAATGGGACACGTGGAGCATTGCAACTACCTGAGGCATCGTATTCAATGCCATGCAGATCTAACTCCTATGCTTTGGCAGAAGAAGGACAATTCATCCCAAGCCTTCCAGGACCAGGTGATATCGCTGGCCTTGGACATGGAGACTACGTACGCGTGCCGGAAATGGGAACCTATTCATGAATGGGCCTCGAGCCGGCAGGTAAACTACGCGGAACGAGAGGACCTTGTACAGGGGGGAGGCAAGTTCAAGGTTTTGGATTGATAAGCTCAGGAAATGCATAGCAAAGCAAGCCAGGCGTTTCATCATTCTGTTCCTGTTCAAATGATGGTCTTTTTTTGTCTGATTTTTGTGATACACGTTCGTAATTAGTGAAGTTTCAATTAGGAACTCAAAATCGCCTGTGGGAGAACCCGGAAAAATGCCTGTGTAGAAGTACTGGACCATTCGTAATGGTACAGTTAGCATGATTGATGGTTTATTCGTCAGGCCTCATGCTTTATATTGTTTCAAAGGCTTCAAACCGTTTATATTCTAGGTATATGAGTTACGACTAGCACAAGTATCAAGTATCTTCATATCCAATGAGAACACTGGATGGCATGCTACTTCACCTGTGAAATCGAGGTCCTGTTGAGGGTAATAACATCGCATTGGATAGCTATGGAAAGTAAAATTACATACAGATGACTGCGTAGATCATTGATCAAGATCTACAGCCATTTCTGAAAACACCGATCGGGCACTATCGACACCCCGAAAAATATACAGAGCACCGCTCCTGACCTCATTATGTACACGAACCGACTTGGGTAAACATCACGAGCTCCTATATCCGTGGAGCATACGGCTCTCAGCATTTCACTGCTATCAGAGAGCATGGAGATTCACCTCCGCCCGATAGGACTTCACTCGTCCTCCGGTTTGTTCTCCGGGTTCTCAGGATCATATTTCCAGCGGCGGTGGTTCTCCGCAACCCACCACTTGGCGACGTGGGCCGCCTCGCTGAGCCATTTCACGGCCTCGGATCCATGCTCCTTTCGCACGGCGTCGATCAAAAACAGGAGTTGGTGATCTTCCTGGGGACTAAGCTCGAATGGGTCGGCGACAACATCAGTGAATCTCCACTTAGCGTCGGGCTTGAGAGGCACGACCAAGCGGTACGGCTGTGCGGCCGCCCGCATGCAGAACCACGTTCCACCAGGGTTCATCGTGGAGAAGTGCCATTCTTGCTTGCCGTTGTGCTCGGGGATAAGTGTGCGAATCATCGACTGGCCCTCGTACATAGGGAGTAGATCTTTGATGATCTTAGTGGATTCCTCGTCAATAGAGGAGGTTTCGACGAGGAGATCGAGAATCGTGGGGAGGATTTGGGTGGAGAGGACAGCATTGTTGACCTCGATCTGGGGCAGCTTAGGGTGGGAGAAGAATAGCGGCACGTGGAAATTGCCGACGTGAGGGGAATGCCAGGCGGTTATCCCGCCATCATTTGGGAGTGATAGACCGCTAGATTAAGTTAGAGGCTGGACGGGTTGGAGTATAGGTAGAACTTACTGGTCACCAGTCATCACGAGAAGGGTCTCATCGGCAATTCCGGCATCATCGAGAAGCTCCAGGATATCGGCTATCCACTCATCCTGGTAGGCCATGGTATTTAAGTATCGGTTCAACCTCTCATTCCGTTCACTGGAGACATCCCCCATCATCTCCTGATAATCACCAGGTATATAATACGGAGTATGCGTATTATGGGTTAGATGGCTAAGGAACAGGCGAGTGTTGTTCTTCTTGGCATCGTCGATGACATCCCGGAGATACTTTTTCAGCACCTTATCCTCATGGCCATGTTCCTCTTCCTCTTCTGTCTCTTCTGGGATATATTTACCGCCGGCCGCATCGATTGTCCTCTTTGCCATGACGTCTTGGTACCCCAAAGCAGGAGAAAGCATGTAATGCTTATCCCAGTCGTCGGGGTGTGACTGCATCCACATCGTGTACCACGGCCAGGAAGTCCAGTCATCTGTCTGACTATTGCTTTCTATCTGACTGGTGATGTTTGGCTGGTTGTTCAATGTCTCGAGTATGTGCGGCAAGCAGGGCTGGTAGATATCGTGCAGGTACTCGAGGTTGGCCTCGACAGCCATAGGATTCACTCCGCATACAGTGCCCGTAATACTCTTCAGCGTGTAGGTCCCGGACGTGTAGGCGTTCCTCGTACTGATGCCACCATATGGCTTCGGATGATCATCGCTGTCCTTACGGAATCCGGTCTTATGTCCGGTCAAACGCTCGGCGGTAGGAGTGAGCTTAGCGAGCCTATCCTGGACCTCCTCGGGGATGCCTTCCGGGTAAGACTCATTGATGTGCTTCATGATGTAAGAGTCTGAGCGGAAGGGCCACACGTCCTGTCGAGTGCTCTCTAACTTAATGAGAATGACATGCTTAATCTTCACACTTCCGTTGTGAAGAAGTTCACGTACAGGCTCCAGGATATCGTTCTGGAGGTTTGGCGTGTGCAAAGGATCTTTCATCGGATTGTAATGCTCATACACATAGTCAGACTTGTTGTGTTTATTGATACGGAAGGGAGACCAAGCCGGAGCCCCATCTGACGAATTGTACGAAGGTAACCAGTCGAATGTGGGAAAGGAGTCCAGAGCGGTGTGGCCTTCCAGCCAGCTGAAATCGGCCGATAACAAGGTTGAGTTTCCAGTAGTAACATTTCCATAGCTGGCACTGCCTGGGGCGATTTTGGGGGCGCTTTCCGGGGTACTCTGCGGGGTACTTTCCGGAGCACTTGTTGGACCACTTGTTGGAGCACTTGCTGGGTACTTTCTGGAGTACTTGTTGGGGCATTTCCAGAGGTACTGTCTGGAGCAGCACTTGGACTCGCTGACGTGGGACGTTCATGAGCGGGCACATATTCGTGGCTGCCGAATGGCGCGAAAGACAGGGAATCAGAGAGATAACTGTACTCCGCACCGCGTGGACGAATGCAAATGAGAAAAACTGTGATGAAGCCGAATGATATGGCGAGAACACGCTTCAGCAACGACCGCTTCGGCTTCTGCTCGGATGGAGGCTGAGGCATATCCAGTTGCGATACGGAATCGCTGTCATTGTGACCCTCATCATAGTCGTCGATTTCAATCTGCTGATAGGTCTCTGGATCTGATGGGGCTTCTCGTCGAAGATATCGGCGGAAAGGAGAGAACAAAAACGAAGCCCAAATCCCTAGGAAGGTTTCGGTGGCTTCGAATAGACATGGCGTAGCGAAGTACGCACCGATCATTATCAGCGTGTCGATGAGCATGGTGACAGTCAACATGGACAGGACAGTCTGAGTAGCTGGACTGAGGTCGTCCTCGTCAGAACTCTCCGATTTCCCCCAGGGAATCTCTGCGCCTGTATGTACATAAAAGGAGATGTTGGCGGAGGTCATGGACGAGATATAAAGACTGGGACGTGATTAGCGATTTATTGTTTCTCTACGAGTCCGGACGACAGCTCACCTGAATAAAAGAGTTACAACGGCGGCTACGTTCTGCCGGATCTGCGATTCAAACGAACGCGTCAGGAAGCACGCGATCAGAATGAGGATTATGTCCACCAGGAAGAAGGTGGGGCCCCAGGGGACGAGCGATGGAACCGCAAGGGACGTGAGATGGACGCAGAGATGGAAGCATTTTGACAGTATGAGGGAGATGAAAGTGATAGAGAAGAAATATGTGCGAGAACTGTCCAGATAGAGCTGAGGGGATCTGGCGACTTTGAGGGCGAAAATGGCTGACTCTTCAAGCTGCCTGCGGAGCCCGGAGACGTCTCCTCCATGCAATGAAGATTTCATGGTGCCAACAACACCCTCTGAAGGGAAAGGGATGGGAACTTAAGACATATGATAAGAGAAAGATTATAACGCTAAAAATGGAAAATAGAAAATCCAGGGGTCCAAAAACACAAGGCGGGGCATAATCTCACAGGTTCATCCGCTTTAACGGGGACTTTTCCCTCCAGGGCTCTTCAAATCCTCTTGGCACGCGAAAGTGTCCACGTGCGGAATTACCCTGAAGGGCAAGTGGTATGGGTCGGCCCCCACGAACCAAACCAATCAGAGCAGCGATCAACGGTTCCTTCAGAAGCAAACTAAACAAACTAAACAAATTAACCAAACAAATGTATATGGCTTCTCAAACTGAGACAATTATTATTAGGTATCCAGTTTTTCCGGCCTAAGCAGGCAGCTGTCAATTAAGAGGTGAGCACTAAGACGGAAAAATAAATGCCGATATTTGCCTGGCATTCTCCCTTTATATATAGGGGGGGGATTTCTGTTGGTATATCGTCTGTTAGAAACTTCGTGATAATAGGTTATAATGTAGGGGAACTTCCAGAGCAGCAGTCACTTACGGACAAATTTCTACATAGTAGATAGATAGGTCCCAAACCAGGTTATATCATTATCCAAATAAGGCGAGCTAACTGACATTCCCCTCTTTCAGCCTTATTGCCAAGGGCAAATATGTTGATCGACATAGAACTGAGCTTGGCACACAGAAATCCGGGGTAATCTACCATTCGAGCTCCAAGTATAAACTCCCATACAAGACATCTTCTATTTTCACCATATAAGTCGTTATGCTGCTGGCTAAATTCTTCGAATGTTGGTGTCCAGGATTGTTATAGGAAGATACACTCATAGCAAAATCAAATTGAGTGACCTTCGATACATCATAAAATATTAGGGCATCCAAACCCACTTGGTGAAGGCAGTCCTAGAACACTATGCTGGCACCACCAAAACTACCTCTAGTATGAGGATCAGTCGATGGATGCTAGGATAAGTTGTATTGCGCTCGTTGTTGTCAATACAGGGCTTTAGGCAAACACAATCGGATCATGGACCTCTTGTCGATGAGTGACCCTAAGCTGAAGGTCTCGGACGAGGACGTACTCGTCGACACAAAGTGGGTCATTTTTATGTCGAACATACTGGATAAGATGCAGGAGGTCCCTACCCTGCTATCATTGACAGCGATAACCAGCACAATTCTGACATTGCCGTCCGAATCTGCAAACCACTTTCTGCGTCGACGAGTTGGCTCAGGCTTTCAGACGCCCTTGTCTCTCTTACCGAGATTGGCATTAGCTTTCAATTGCTTTTGTAAATCCGCAAGTGCCTGTATCACCTACTGATGATTCTGGAGTTGCCAGCCTTCTTTCTTGGCCTGTAATGGCAGGACTGACCACTCTCCCTCCATATTTAGCTGGTAAAACTGGGAGACCCAGCCGTCTGTCAGGGCCCCCAAACCGTCCAATTTCTCTGCCACCTTGATATTCTGTTGCCCTGTACCATCGCCATATAGGTGAGGATTCGGCCCTGATCTGGGAAAAGCCGCGTCTCTTGGCTTCGAAAACCAAATGACAGGCCATATGGTCCTTCTCTCCAAAAAGGAGACTGTAATCTGCCGTCCCAATGCACGTGTGTGGGACATTCCGGTGAAGGACAGGCCCTCACGCTAAAGGACTCTATAGAGCCGAAGTCACTCGAGTGCCGGCAGGGTTTTGGAGCAGTCCTTGATCTGATAGGATGCGGTATACTGCCACTATCAAAGCGTCTACTCGACATCGGGGCTTTGCTTCGGTAAAGACAGAAAGCTCTTTCTATCGTGGAATTTGGAAGCGGGTCAACCCCGCTAGATCAAGTTGACAAGGAAGGTCGACCATCGAAGACAGCTCCAGTAGACCATACCCACTAAAGGTGGAGCTCAGAGTAAGTTGGCCGAGGGTTTTCTTACACTCCCATGCTAGTCACGTTTCTCAACCACTGTGTCCGAGAGCGCAAAGGCCAGTGTGGACGTGTTTTATACTTCAAATCCTCGCTCATCTCACTCATCCGTATATGGTTGTACAGGCAGGCGGTAGGTAGCATCATTATCCAGCCAATCTTGGTATTCGATGTCAGAGCTTGGGTGTTTCCCTTTTGAGATCTACGGTCGCCAATCTCAACCAAACCACGACCCGACGGATACGTGTGGCATATTCTGCTGTTGCTCTTTCACAGATGCGTACCACCCTATCATAACGCGAGAAAGAGAAGTCAGTCATCAGATTGAACAAGGCCCGCTTTGATGTGATGCAGAAACGTGCGTGAATACTTACCGATATAGTCTACACATGGTCGACTTTGTCCTCTTTGGTGGCATTTTGACCATATTAAGCAATCACCGCGACGATTTCGGCCTTTAACACGTAGGCGGCACGAGAACCAACAGGACTAAGACTGAGCTACCGCTCTCACACATTTGGCTAACGGGCTGGCGGATGATATCTGAATGATATTCGAACATTGTGCCCGTTGGCCATCTGGCCATTGTAGGTGGTTTGGGATCGCAAGAGGATTTTCGAGGGTAGGGATGGCCTACCCCCTAATAGGGTTGTGGCATACATGTATTGAGATGTCGACCCCCAGTCGAGAGAAATGGATTCGTTCTAAGTGTAGTCGATGGAATGAGTCGAGACAGGCAGTGTTGAAAGATGAGGACGGGGACGAAGACGGATGAATGATCAAGGTAAGAACCATGAGGGGACCGAGACAGACATCTTGATGAGAAGAGGGGAGGTTCAGAGGAGTGCGGGTAGATAGTTCTTTGGGATAAAGTTGAATGGCTTAAATAGCCTTAAGGTAGAAGTGAGAGCACGTGAAGTATTGATGAGGTCTCAGGTATAGGGCAGGTAGGTAGCTTCCTACTTTTCTGAACCAGCTTATGATATTATGTCAATTACCCTAGGACTATGGATGTTTTTGTTCATATCACGACGGGTTGAATGAAATACCAGATTTGAATCATTCGACTATCGTCCATTGGGATCAAGAGACTCTCCATCTATCCAAGCCATAACGAATCACTCCCTAGGTCCTGTGGCTGCACAATAGGGAATTCAAGACTTCTCTTTTCAGGAGTACCGTTTCTCCCCACTTCTGAAATCCAGACACACCAACACCCCAATACCGTTGATCCATTGTATAAAGAGGACTCTGAATGAGCACCTTGGCCAATCTATCCGCAATATCAACGGTAGTCATCCGTCTTCCATTCAGTAGCATGGAAATGGTACCGATTCTCTCGTAAATGAGTCCCGCATGCTTCTCAGTTATGTAGCCCATGTTAGTTATGTCTCTCAACCACTCTGTCCAAGAGCGCAAAGGCCAGTGTGGACGTGCTTTGTACTTTAAATCCTCGCTCATCTCGCTCATCCGTATGTACAGGGGGTCGGTAGGACCATTATCCAGCCAATGTTGGTATTCGATGTCAAGAGGGGGAAATGGTAACTTCGTCTCTGCCGAGTGAAAGTCGAAGATGAGGTTCTCAACAGTGATCACACGGTCCTCATAGGAGTTCACACTGCCGCCTTTCTTCTCGCCCACTGGTCCATGAAGTAAGAATCGGTCCAAAAAGGCGGGAAAAAGCCAATTGATGGTGTTGTAACCACCACCACGGCCTCCCCGTTCACGCGCCTGTTTGACGTCGTTGCAGGTGAGGATGTGTCCGAAAAGACGCAAATCTATATATAGTGTAGATAGGCGGGTCGTCAAATGTGGAACTGATATCCAGGTTGAAAACATGTCCTGTTCATTCAGAATTGAAAAGTCAAGGACGTAGATGATTTTCTTCATTCGATTGAGAATCGATTGAGTATCTACCGAGACTTGACGACTTGTTAGGAGCAGAGGGAGACTGTTCGATGGGCTGTGCCTATCATGCTTCTCGTGATTGAACTTAGGGTGGCCATTCGAGGCCGTGCATTCCGTGTCCGTGATCTCTACCATGTTCGATTTGGATGGAGATATGGGTGGGGTGCGATGGCCATTGATTACCTCTTTGAAGACCATGACACGGATCTCCAGAGGGAGATCTATCAAGGAAGGCATAGTTATAGACCAGAGACCTGAAGATGTTTGAAGAAGTTGGCATCCATGTACTGGGGATATTTCTGACAGGTGAGTCTGGGGGTTGAAGGAGCTATTTACATATGTATGTAATTTTCGACCTCAACCTTGGAAAGACATCAGTAGGGGAGTTTTATGGTCTCAATGTTCAGGCATTCGACTATGATACCATCTTTTTTGATGAATATGGAAAATAATTCAAACATGACCGTAGTTTTAACTTCACTATGCTTTTAAATATATATGTCTTAAGAGAGCGATATCTTTAACATATCTTTTAGATTCTAAAATATAAAATATGAGGGTAACTGCCGGTATATTCCACAGTCAACCCACCTGGGCACAGTCAACCCACAGTCAACCCATAGTCAACGCACATCTAATATTCGGCCCACGGCTAATGGTTGACTTAGTATCTTTTGAAAACCTGTATTTTAGGCCTGTATGTTTACATTGATGTTTGACCATCCCTGTCTTTCATTCCCTCTCTTTATTTGTTGGACTAACATTCAATCTACGCTCCTTAAGTATGGTCCTCATTGTTACAACCATTTCAAGCTACATATGTACACATTACACAGAAACATCAGAGAACATACGTATATGTATACTGGTAGTGAGCATATGGTCGCTCAGATCAATAAAGAGGGGACAATAAAATGGTATATTAAATTAACAACGCCTGGAAATATATGCACACCTTGCGAACAAGGTCCAACCATTAAAAGAGAAACGTTGTATTAATATAAAGCACCCATCATGGACAAGAAACCTACCTAACCAGCTCCCACTCAGCAACATAAGCCCAAGCCATACCAACCCGGCCAACCTTCTCCTGGAACTCCTGCACCGTAACCCCACTAGCATCCTTCCGATCCCCAAAGCTAGTCAACACAGCCAACTGCAGCTTCTGACCGGGCGCACCGAGCATACGCGCACTGGGTACATCCACATACCAGAACTCGCCACCGCCCGCGGGTCCGGAGCCCGGTACGTGCGTGAAAGGAAGCCTATCATCCTCGCGTCCATCCACCCCATGGATCATAAGCAGGAACAAGCCGGCATGCTGGATGTGGCTGTGGCGAGCGAGTGTCCAGTGCGGACAGAGGAGACCGAACTGGAAGCGGATTGCGCCCGGCGTGCTGATGGAGACGTGCAGGCCTTGTGGGTGGAAGGTCTTGCGGCCGATGCTGCGCTTGTCGGCATCGCTGTAGACCTTTAGGCCTTCGACGCCGTTTGGTCGTTCCGGGTCCGTCAGGATGTATTCTTCCCAGGTTAGATCGGGACGTCCGTCCTCGCGGAAGAAATGGCCTCTGTTTTCTGGGAAGTGTTTTAGACCGAATTCTTCGTTCGGAATCGAGAACATTGCTGGCTCGAATCGCTGCTTGTATGGCTGGCCCGCGCCTTCTATTGCTCCGGCGCCCCAGCAGGAGTCGATTAGCTTCCATCGGCCTCCGTCAATTTTGACGGCGTTCCAGGCGTGGTTGCCTTCGTATGGCGGCACCGGAGCACCTGGAGCAAGAGCGTTGTGTCCGAAGCCTTTGCCGTGGCCGCCGACTACTATTGCCTCGAGGCCGGCGTGGGTCGCTAATGCTGCAAATAGTCCTGCGTAGCCTTCGCAGACTGCCAATCCAGTTGCTAGAGTACTAGCTGGCGTGGAGGGCTTCACGCAGTTATTAAAGAAGGCATAGGTGTCGTAGAAGATGTTATGATGCAACCACGTAAATATCGCGCGTGCCTTATCTGTCATAGATGGGAATGGTGCTGTCAACTCATTGGCCAGCCACTTCATATCCTGCGTGGGAAGCGATGCACGAGGATACTGGGCTGCATGGTTATCGGGGCCTGAGAAGTCCCGGCATATCAGGCATTCCGTGTCTGATGTAGGGGCTGGAGGGCTTGGAGACACAGCTGATCCATTCAAACGTGGCTTTGTAGCCAGGATTTTGGATAGATCTGGACGAGAGCCAAGTGGAATTGGTGGTGGTGTCCCATTGGAGGCAGATTTACTGGGTTTAGATGGAATTGTTGGACTTTTATCACCAAACCCGAACTGCCTAGCATCCTTGATTTGCGCAGCTGTCGACGGAGGAGGTAATGTCCTCCGAATCGGCAGACTGACACTCGAGTCATCCCAAGTTCCATTTGTGTCTGCATGTACCCCGGGTGGCCGGCGTGGTGGCAGTCGAGGCACCGGGGGTTCCTCTTGGGCCTCGTACCGTGGAGGTGGGTCGCTAGGATGTGGAGACGAAGTAGGCCGTGGAGGTTGGGTAGGACGAGGAGGTTGACTCGGCCGTGCATGCTGACTTGGAGGAGAGGGAACGGGTGGTTTGGACCCCGGTAGCGATATTTTGGAGCTCAATCGGGCAGATAGGCTCCCAAAGCTCCTCTTACTACTAATCGTAGGCCGCGGGGGCGGCTCCAAGCTAGCTTGCTCTTTTGGTCGGCGCGGAGGAAGCGCAGGCAATTCCGCCTCGCCCCATGCAGGCGCCTTGATGCGGTTGTTCCCAGTAGAGTTCACCGAGGTTGTCGATGCGCCTCGCCCCGCAGTTGTAGCTGTTGACGTTGTTGAACGTGACGCATCGGAAGTGACCGATTCAAGGGACGGCCGGCGCTTTTGATCCGTCGGTCTACGCGGTGGCAGCGCAGGGCGAGCTGGGGTTGGGGGAGGCAGGCGATCTGATTTTCGCGTGGGCAATGGCGGAGGGGCTTTTGGCTTTGGTTTCACTTCGGGCCGGAGAGTTTCCATTGGAGGCGGTCGCAGGACCGGCCTCTGGGTTCTGTCGTCTGCGGGTTCATTTCCGACAGATGCTCGATCCACCACAGAGCCGACTGCATTATATGAGGGAGGGTTGTTGGCTGACGCGCTCCGTTCGGGGGTCGGGCGGAATGATGGTCCAGGGCCTCCCGGTGGGCGGGCCAGTTGTGACTGGTTGAGGGCGGCGATCCGTTGCTGGATAGAATTCAACTGAGGGTCCTCGGCCATGGTGCTTGAGCATATGTTAAGGGAAAAGTCGAGACGTGTCTAGATAAATTAGACAGCTCTAGCTTAGGTACCACGTCCTTGGCTTGGCGGGGGCGAAAGTAGCCTTGTCGGACTCTGAAACACCTAGGATAATTATGCAAATATGAATATTTCTGATAATCGATTTCATCTACCAGAATCCCCGCGAGAACGGGAAATTCCAGTATGTAAGAAAGAGAGGGAAAACAACAATAGGAGGCTCAACTAAGGAGGGGTCAGCCCTGCCACGTATGGAGTACCCATGGGTCCAGATCTATATTTGGAACTTCAAGGTACGGAGTAAATAGCACACGCAATATACATCTACAATATAAGAATTAGAGGTATTGCAAACAGAAGAGGTTCGAATGTATTTCCAGAATATCATTTGGACTCCCAAACGCCTTAAGCCGGTGAAGCCCTCATCTGGAACAAAAAAAAAAAAAGGGAAAACTAGGTACGTTCAGAGATGAATGAAGGATGAAGATGAAGCAAGAAAATGACAAGGAGAAGGGTAGCAGTTAAAAAATAACAAGCCTCGAGATCTCCGACTGATAGTCGGCAATCTGTTCAGAAGAGCCCGAGGCTGTGATACAAACATAAGAAAGGTCAGGTACATCGTTGGAGAAAGGAAAGGGAAATTCACAAAGTGGTATAGCCGTGAGGGTAGAGGGCCAGCGTCGATCATCAGCAGCGTCACTTCGTCCCAATGTACATCATCGTCAGGGCAAACGCGCAATTCTTAGACATTCTTGTAGAGGAGCAGGGGCTCGCCAATATTCTCGATCTCCGGAATGGTACACTTTAGATCGAATGCCTTGGCTAGAACGATCTTGAAGATCTGCCGTGGGTCAGCATGTGTCCTATCAAACTTGAAATAAATCGAGTAGGATATGAATGGCTGCAACATACCTTTTGCACATTGATGCTGTGACTGGTGCTGCTAAATATCAGACTAGCCTTCATCGCTTTGGCAAATCGCTTGGCCTGCAATATGTTAGCTGCTGCGGGAAAATAGACGAGTATCGCCAAATACCTGAATGGAGATCTCTTCCTGATCCTCACGAGGGAAGTTCACAAAGTGATCATATTTGGTGCCCACCAGGAAGGGAATAGCTGTCTTATTGAAGCCACGACCCTGGCGATACCACTCCTTGATCGAGTTCAATGTACTCTTTCGAGTGAGATCAAACATGAAAAGAATTGCAACGGCGTCATTGCAGACAAGCGGTAGCATATTAACAAACTCGCGCTGGCCACCAAGATCCCAAATCGAGAAGGTGATTTCAGTATTGCGAATTGAGATTGTCTTTTCCATAAAGTTGACACCTAGACAAGTCTTCAGTCAGAAAGAACATACCTACTGAATTGACACAAAAAAATTCGACTTACCCAATGTCTGGATGTAATCCTCGTCCCAGCTGCCCTCGACGTACTTGACCATCAAACTGGTCTTTCCGATCTGCGCATCGCCTACCATGCCAACTTTAATCACCACGCTGTTCTTGTTAGCCTGAGAGGCTTGACGCTGGCTGGCGTCTTGCTGCTGCAACTGGGAAACACCAGCCGCACGCTCTGGGCCACTGGAGAGTCCAGATCCGGGCCTGGAGTTGGGAACAGGGAGGGGGTGGTGGCTGAGCAATGGAGATGAGTTCTGGCGGGACTGGTCGGTATCCTGGGCGGCATATTCGGGGGCAGATTGATGAAAGTCGGTCGATCGGGAGTGGTAATGCGCCTTCGAGTCGCTGCTGTAGCCATTGTTGATGGCGGCACGGCTGATTGTGTGGTCGGAAGCCGGCTCTTCGACATTGACCGAGACAGGCGCAGGCTGTTCCAGGGATTGGCCTAGAGGTTGTTCGAGAGGCTGCTCCAAAGGCTGCTCGGGCGGGATTTCCTGTCCCTGTCCGTGTGCTTGCTCCTGTGCCCGTTGCGTCTGATCCTCTGGGGCAATCTGCTCAGATTCGGCAACGGCAGGAAC